CATGGCTTTCAAAAAATTAATCTGAGGCAAAATGCACTCCTCCACCCTGTCCCAAAAATCCCATGTAAGCCAGGGAAGTGCCACCCTAGCTAACTGACAAAGTCAAAGCAGAGAAGCAAATTTTGCAAAATTGGAAAATAGTTTAAGTTAAAATAACCAGAGATGCTGACAAACCAGAGATTTCTAGGTAGGTCTAAATTAGAAATTGGTTTGGGGGAGGTGGGAGTGATGAGGTCCCTAATGGTCTCCAGTGAGAATTCTTTAAATTCATGGGCTAATAACCAGCGATATGAAAGGGGCCTTGGGGATGAATATGTGCTCGCTGAGTGAGGGGGTAGCTCAGCTCCACTCATTAGGAACAGATGGGCGGGTGGGGTTTGGGGCTGGCACGCCAGTGCAGACAGGATGCCTACTTTCCTGATCATTATAGTCTTTCTCACACATCCCCTGTCCTTCGGGAACCCCTGCTTGCCCTGTGGGCCTGCATTGATCTCCACCAGCCCTGCCCTCCCCTCGGTCAGGGCTCTTGCTGGGAAAGGACCCCTGGCCATGCTGCACGCAGCTGTGGCTACTGGCTTGGTGTCTGGAGGGCAGAGCCATTTCTGACTGGTCTGGAGGTGATCTTCCCACAGGTCACTCATGGAACAATGCTTTCATTTCATTTGGCTCTAAAATCTTAAAATCCTAATCCGATGATTTGGGCTTTCGCCGTACATGTGGTCTGGCACTTAAAGATCAGGTAGAGTTCAGGAATATTTGGAGTCTGAGAAGCCAGAGGCGGAGGAGACCTTGGAGACCAGCGGCCTTGCCTGCTTTGTTCCCGTGTCTGTCCTGAGTAGCAGTGACCCTGCGGGTGGGACAGACAGACAGGCAAGAGGACAGCAAATGTCATATTTCCCCTCCCACGACCAAGAGGAAAAACACCACCAAAGGACTTTTCTGAAAATCGGCAAGTCTAAGAAAAGCTATAATACTATTGTAATTGGATCTCATTTCATCTAGTGTCACCTGGAGGAGTGGCAAATCCTCTTCTGCCAAGATCATCAGCACCAGAGGGGCACATGGGCTGGTGCCACAGCTTTTGTCCCCAGGGATCAGGGCAGCTGCAGGACATGTACCTCCTGAGCCTCGGGGAAAGATGAGTGAGAAAGCACATGTGGGGGCTCTTTATGCCCTGTGAGGCTTACTCACATGGGGGGGGGAGGTGAGGGATGGTCATCTCTGGTCTGCCCTCCCCGCCCCCACAGATAGCACCAGCCCTTCCACCTCTCCTGCGAGGCCTTTGCTGAGTGGCACTGGCCGGGGCCAGCATAGACCAGCCTTCTCAGTCCCTTCCTTCTGGAGATGAGGGTACATCATGGCGCCTTCTCTAATTAACACTCTAGGTATGGATATGCTTTTGGAAAAAAGCATAGCTCTCTAAGGGAGAACAAGTGTGTTCTCTGGGATTCGCTCAGTGAAGGAGATGGAAGGTCCTGGGAAGGTCCTGAGTCCACACCTTTGTTGCCCAGTGTGCACATGCATGTGGCTTCCTGGCGCCTGCCTGCTGGCTTGGGCTCCACTGCCCACAGCAGAGTGGGAGTTCTTCAGGAGTCAAAGTTCCCACGCAGACCAACCGGCCCCTGTAGTTTGGCCTCCCTTAGCATTTGGTCTCCTTTCGTAACTGACCAACCCAGCCTGAAAAGTGGAGTTAAACACAAGCTCAATACAATTACATCCTTCACCATGTACATCTGAAGTCCTGCCCATTCTCTGGAGCAGAGGCTGCCCCCGCCCAAGACTGCCACATCTCTGTCCCCACGTGGCCACTGTTTCAACGAAGCCTGTGATGTCTTCTCCCCTGGCCCCTCCATTCCCACTGTGTCCACCCTAACCGGAACGAGCCCCTCTGGCCTTCCTTTCTGAATCCTGCAGGTGATGGGTGCAGCAGGCAGGAGCTGCTGGAAGGGGCCCCTTTCCCTTCCTCAGGTAGGGGAGGGGGGAGAAGAGCCGGGCATGCTGGAAGTTACTTGCATGGGCTGAGCAGCCAGGCTTGCTTTGCTTTGAATGAACTGAGAGGTCTGTATGGTGCTCATCCCGGTGTCTGGCACCGAGTGCTCAGTGAGTGGTAGCCACCTGTTAGCTGTTCAAGTCAAACCAGTCCCCTCCGCCTGCATCTCCTCCCTCCCGGCTGCTTTGGTGCTTTCAGTGATCTGCGTTCTCTCCTGTTCCAACTTCCTTTCGCTTCGCATAGAGGCATGTTTGGCTCATGTTTTAAACATCCTCCCCTAGACCCTGGATCTTTGCTGACCCCATCCTCACTCCCTGTCCTCTTCACTCCTCTCCTTATTCAGCCTCCTGCCCCCAGGCACCTGCCCCTCAGTCCAGGGAGCTGGCTCCTGCCAGAGCAGCAGTGGTCTCCGGATGGTCAGGCTGCCACAGGCCTGCGGTCTCTGCTGACGTCCTCCCCTTCGCCGCGTGCTGTCCCCCTCGCCGAGTGGGTCCCTGCCTCCCACAGCTCCCTCTCCAGCACCAGCCCAGGGCTGAGTGCACGGTTCTTCAGATGGGGACTAGACCCCAGCCCAAGCAGCAAATCAGACTGGGACACATTACCAGTGAAAGTGTTTAATAGTTAAATTACTCAAATAGACTTTTCAGTTTCCATGGGAAATCATAATTGTATCCGTTTTTGCAAGAGCAGGAGTAAAAAGAGTGCACACCCCTTAGAGGGAATAAAAAGCCAGCACTGCACATGGTCACCAGTCACTGCTGGGGGGTGGGGGGGAGTGGAGGATGGGCCCCCACGAGGCCGGTGGGGGTCATGACAACAGGGGGAACATAGGAGGAACTCTGCACACACACACACACACACACACACACACACACACACACACACACACACATTACTCAGGTTGGAAGCAAAATGAAAACCCAGCACCCCTGGCAGGTGCTGGGATGGGGACTGGAGAACAAGACGTGGAGAAGCTAGCCTGGCGAGGGCACGAGGCCGATGCAGAACTCAGGGCGGACAGCAAAGGCGCAACAGATTCGGGCTGGCAGTTTTGGGTCCATAGCCTTGCTTCAGGGCTGTGTTCAGACGGGTGGGCGATGGGTGTGGGGGAGGCTGGCGCCAGTGTCCAGCCAGAGGTGGAGCGAGCAGGTGGGCATCAGAGTCACGTCCCAGCAGCTGGCACCCAGCTGCCACCCCACCCCCTTCCAGCTTGTGTTGGAGGTGAGAATAGTTCTGCCCTGAGAAGCAATGAAAAGATCTGGGCACAGGCCCCAAGGATTCTGTTTGGAAATATCTCTGATAGTATATCATTTTCCAAATGCCTCCTTCATAGGGTATAAAAATAGAAATTTTTTCTTGGTATATTGAACTGTCCCCTCCCCAAAAAACAAAAACCAGACAAACCAAACTTTCTGCTAGCTTTGCTCTGTGGACTCTGAAGCTGGCTCTACCCTTTCCTTTGCCTGGCTTGCAGGTGGAGGGCAATGCCACCCCCTTTCCCTGAACCTAAGGGCTCCACATTATCCCCCAAGTCTGAGGGACCATCTTCGGGAGAGGCACCTCGGCGAATCGAGAGAGGCCGGCAGGCTTCCTTGCCTCCACCTGGCTGAGCACCAGGGCCGTCTGCAGGCAGCGAAGGGCTGAGGTCTCAGGGAGCGAGAGGAGAGAGCAGCTTTCTGTTTCCTTCTTATTCCATTTGCATTTCTCCCAGGGGCAGTGATCTGTGTGTGTGTGTGTGTGTGTGTGTGTGTGTGTGTGTGTGTTAGAGAGAGATGGGCGATGTGTCCATGCATCTTCCTACTTAATCTTTAGAACATACGGTAACCCAAAAGGACACGCTCGCTGCTCGGGTTGGACCTGGGAAAACCCAAAACTGCCAAATCCGAAGTGAGGAAAACAGGCGTCCTGTACGTGACCAGTTCCACAGCACAGACACACACGCACGCACACACCGTGCACACTTGGACGTACGGACAGTACAAATGAGCACACACACGCCCCGCTGTGCAGCACAGCTGTGTTCTAATATAGAGAATTTACAAAATATAGAATTTGGTATATTTGTTAGATCTCCAAGGTTTTCAATAATACAAAATAAAAAATACAAAAAGACAAGTCGGGACCCGGCCTCCCTCCCCAGCAGCGTCCCCGGTGGCCTGCGGGTCTCTCGCACGTGGACAACTAGCAGAGGCTAAAGAAGGGCGCAGAAACAGGTTTTGTTTTATTTAATAAATATTTTCCTTTTCTCAGAACCGCCACTCCTGGCTTCGAGTCCTCTGGCCTCCCCCTCGCAGTTAGTTCTCTTCCCCGCGGAGGGGCATTGTGTGCGGGTGGAGGGGGGACTGTGGTGAAGGCCACAGTCCTTCCAAAGCCAGCACTCCTGCCCGGCGGCTGCCTCCATGGGGCAGGGGCCAGGTCTGCCTGAAGTTTAAAGGCTCGTATAGAAAAGCAGACCCCTCAGGGCCCCTAGGCTCCCTCCAGCCAGAGTCGCTCGCCTTCCCACCCAGGCCTCTCCCCCAGCCCTGCCCTCGGCGCTGGGTGGCCATACGCCGATCCACGCGCCAGGAGCTCCACCACCCGTGCAGCAGCAGCACCCGTAAGAAAACTCAAGATCCAGGTCGCGTCCAGCGGAGTCTTCTCCAGAGGGAGTCATCTTTGGTCAGCGTGGTGCTCGCAGGACGCAGGCACCCTGCCTGGGACAGAGGCTGCCGCCCGCCCACGAAGGCAGAAACTGCTTTTGGAATCAACGTGGAAAATCTCAAGGGCGCGGCCACCTGGGCGGGGGCGCGGGCTTCCACCGGCCCGCCCGGCACACAAAGAAGCCGTTGTGTTTCTCCGGAGGCCAGCTGCCTGGCATCGTCAGCTGGCAGCTGCTAACTGAGCGGGGGTCCTCCGTTGAGGAAGTAGGTCATCATCTCGCCTTTGCCCTTGACCTTGACCACACCCCGGCACTCCAGCTGGTACGTGTTGGCAGCCAGCACCTGGTACATGTCCGTGGTGACCTGAGGAGGCAAAGGAGGAGGGAGGACAGGCCATCCACGACCGGAGCCGTGGATCCGCCCGCGGGCAGAGCTGCCTTTGATACAGAAGGGCGGGCGGGGCATCTCCCTGGCCCGGGCTCTCGGGGACGGACACTGCTCGCCCAGGAAAGTGCCTCTCCGTGCTGTGCCAGCAGCGGCGAGCCTCCTGTGCCCTGGCAGTGCCGCTCAGCGTGGCCGTCGTCCACGTGAGAAGTGCAGAGGCTGTAGGTGGGAGGAACTTCCGACCCAACCACGCACCTGCCTGGGGCATTTTCCAAGGTCTCCCTCCAGGACAGAGCAGAAGTATTCTAGGTGACCCACAGGGAGGGTGAGGATGCTGACCTCACCGACCCTGTGAGTGAAGTACTATGATTTCAGGCTCAAAACATCGGAGTCACTGCCTGAGGACACGCAGCTAGGCCGGGCAGGGCCGGGCTCAGTTCGTGGCGCACCTCCCGTCTCTCCTTCAGCTTTTGGAACAAAGAGGAGAACTCACAGGCGGCTCCGGCCATCACACTACCCTTGCGCAGGGGGAGGGGGAGGAGGGGGTGACGGGAGCAGCAGAGGACCAATGCCTCACAAGGTGATCCAAGAGCCATTTCTGAGAACGGCCAGCATGCCTCCGCCAGCCAGCGGCAACTCCCCGGCAAGTGTCCCGGCCCAGCCCAGCCACCAGGCCAGGGAGGACGGGGCCAGAAACCTCTGGGTGGGCTGCCGGGGGGTGACCCTGCCGTGTCACCACGTGTATTCGCCAATGGCGAGGCCCTTTGCCAGCAGAGGTGCTGGATTATTGTGTGGTTGCCGACAGCATCGCTCACACCTGTCATGGGTGAGGTCAGGAGCTCTGCAAACACACGTTCCTCTCTCCTCATCTCCCCTCACCACCCTCAGTTCCCATCTGCTATCACTTCTCCCTTGGCACAGGGATGGAGGGGGAGGCCATTGGCCAGGCCCCTCAGACAGCAGGCCGGCTGGGCTGGCCAGGGCCATGCTCAGAGCCAACCCCTGTGTTCAGAGTCCCCGCAGGAAAGAGACGTTAGGGGACATATGAGTGGTGTCAGTGTGAGCAGAAGCCATAAAACAAGCTCCATTAGCATTTGAGACAACGGAGGCCAGGGAAGCTAAGGGGCCTGCCCACAGCTCACAGAGAACTGGGGTATGGGAAGGTGGGGTGCAGGACTAGAGCCCAGTCCAGGCTTCTCTGCTGTCAGATTGAAGCAGAACGAATCAAGAAAGCCCTGAGGAAAACAAAGAAACGCAGAGGAAGAACAGCGGGCCTGGGAATCACAAGCAGCGGCTTACAAAGGCCGTGGGAGGAGGAAATGTCGGGTCCCTGGCCAGGCTATGCCCTCTCATTCCTTCTGTGGCAGCCGAGGGCTCCGCACAGGCCTGAGGATCTGTCCAAGGTGCTGACAGCTTGTACCCAGTCGTGTTCTCCAAGCTTCAAAGACGTCAGTGCCAACCACCCAATCACTCTCAAATGAAATTCTGACTGGAAACTGTGGGCGGCCTGCCCCAAAGACCAAGCACCAGACAGAGGCCCCGATGTTGGGGTGGCGGGTGGTGGACGCTCTTGCACTCACCTGGATGCGGTCTGGCACACCGGTGCTGTCCATGCGGCTGGCCACGTTCACCGTATTGCCCCAGATGTCGTACTGAGGCTTGCGGGCCCCGATCACCCCAGCCACCACGGGGCCGATATTGAGCCCTGCAGGGGACAGAAGTCAGCACGCTCATCAGGACTCAGACCAGGGCTGGCCCTCACTCCCATTCCTCTCCCCGCACCCGGCTTCTCCCTTGGACTCTCGGTCTGAAGATACCCAGGGTCCTCCGGCCCCAAGGCCGTGCTTAACCCTCTGCTCCTATCAAATGCCATAACTCAAGGTTACGGGAACCTGTTCACACACCCACTGCACCTGTGTCCTCACCACCCAGGCAATGCTCAGCTCCTGCATGGCCATCACCAGCACTGCCCTCTGCAAGGCTTCTAGTGACCTCGTGCGTCACCTAATCGCCTTTCCCTAATCGTCCCTCTCTCAGTGGCATTAGTAAGTTTTCACCTTCAGTTTAGACCAGTGGTCGGCAAACTGCGGCTCGGCAAACCGCAGCTCGCGAGCCACATGTGGCTCTTTGGCCCCTTCAGTGTGGCTCTTCCACAAAATACTGACTTCTGCACATGGGCCACGAAGTTTCAATCGCACTGTATGTGCACGCCCGCACGTGGTATTTTGTGGAAGAGCCACACTGAAGGGGCCAAAGAGCCGCATGTGGCTCGCGAGCCACGGTTTGCCGACCACAGGTTTAGACCAACATACCAGAACTTGCCCATTTCTTTGCCACCCGAGGTTCCCAGTTGCCTGCCCAGCTACTTGTCTACCTGTCACCCAGTCTCCAGTCCTGGCCCGAGGAAGGAAGGGAGGCAGCTTACAAAAAATATAAATCAATGTAGGTGGAAAAGATGGGGTGCAAGGAAAATAAGAATAGCAATTTCACGAAACCAGGGCTGAAGTTACCACAGAAATGCAGGCTGCACGTCAGGTGAGGCAGACCCCCCGCTGGCTCTGGTCTGGGCCTTCTAGCAACCAGTGCAAAGTGAGACCCTGGCCAAGTTCCCGGGTGCAGGGCCCCCGGCTACCACAGCCGTTCGTTCAGACAAAGCTCAGTCCCCACAAAATGTCTCCAAGAACATCAATAATCACAATATTGATGGTTAGCAATCCAATATTTTGGTTTCATGTGCGAATTTTGAGGACTGAGATACCAGTATTTATGTTGGTGAATTAGTGTTCCTTTTTTAAAAAAATCGAAATTGGAATCATTTATGGCTTGAGGCATGCCAGGGAGTTGATAATGCATTAGAAGTCTGAAAAGTGGAAAGGTCTGCTCTTTCAGACACCACTCTTCACCCCACCACCCTCAAGAGGGGGAGGGCAGCAGGGGGTGTGGGGGGCTGGGTGGGAAAGGTGGAGGAATGAGAAGTGCAGGGGGGTAGTTACAGAATAGTCATGGGGATGCAAAGTACAGCACAGGGGATCTAGTCAATGATATTGTAATCACTGTATGGTGCCAGGTGGGTGCTTGAAATATCGGGGGGACCGCTTTGTAAGGCCGATGGTTGCCTAACCACTGTGCTGTACACCTGAAACCAGTACAAAACAATTCTGAGTGTGAGCCGTAACTGAAATAAAGAAAGAAGAAAGAAGAGGAGGGCCGCGGCTCTCAGCAAAGCAAAACCCCTACTGCCGAAACCACGCACGCGGGCTGCCGGGATGTCCTTGGTGAGATATATGCTAAGAACAAAACGAGCCGCAGAAACACCTTGAACTTTATGGAGCAGCGCATCCAGAGTGGTAATCTGCCATCACCCAGCAGCGACAGGAGGTGGGGCCTGCCTGCCTGTGCCCATGTGCGTGAGTTTTCACTGTGCTGTTCTGTCAGCTCTTCTGCAGAGCCGAGACTTGTCAGAGCACAAGGTTGGAGTAATAAAACAACAAAATTAAAGGCCGAAAAAATTATATAGGGTTTGGTTCAAAGAGTTTCTGCACAAGGAGAATAGAGTCCTGACGGAAACAGACTCAGGGCCTCTCTCGGAACCCCGTCTCTTCAGAGCCAGCTCCCACCCTGGGCACCACCCCGGTGTCTGCAAGCCCCTCGAAGCCACCCACCGCGGGCCGAGGCGGTGGGCAGAGGACCCAGGGGAGACCCGACAGGCGCGCTGTTTCTCTGGCCGCTGACGCAGCTTAGAAAAGCTCTCCGGGCCCCGAGGAGCTGGTGCTCACATTGGAACCCCCGGGAACCCAGCAATAACCCTGCTGACCCGTTTTGTGTTTTAAGATGTTGACACGATCATTTCATTGTCAATTTTACATGATTCCTTTCATGTTTAGTTTTTAAAATATTTCACTATGTTCATTTTGCTAACAGTTTTGTAGGACTATTATGTTCAATGTTTTTATAAATTTGCAAATCAAATGACTTGTACTATGTTTGTTCATTTTGTATTTAAAATGGATGAGTACTTCATTTCACTGCTTTTCATTTGTATTGAATGAATTTGGAACACTTTTAAATAAAATGCTGCTAGTAAGCCAGTCTGACTTGAAATACATGGGGCTGCTATGCCCTGGGGCAGCACCCCTTTCGGGCAGGCTCACACTGGGTCCACCCAGCCCTTCCCAACGCGGGTGAGGCGGGCACTCAGAAAGAGGTGTCCTGGGCATGTCACCCGCACAGCAGCATGCAGAGACGGCACCTGTAGGCTCCGGGAGGAGTGTGCTCTGGGTGGTGGGTCCCACCCCACTCCCTTGGGCAGGGACGCACTGTGATGCCAGTCTATCCTTGGGCCTGGGTTACTAATGCAGAACCGGGGGAGGGACAGGAGCCCCTCTGAGCCCTCAGGCCTCCCAGGCAGCTCACCAATCTTCATCTGGAAGTTGTTGAAGGAGTGCTCGTTGATGTACTTCATTTGGTCCATCAGCTTCATGGCGAAGTCGGCCAGAGCTTTGATGTGCGTCTTGCCCACCTTGTCGTAGGTGGAATCATTAAGGCCGGAGGCAGCCATGTAGGTGCTGCCGATGGTCTTGATCTTTTCCAGCTGCTTAAACCGATCCTCGCTGATGATCTGAAGAAGGCCAAACCGGGTCACCCCCAAGTCCAGGGCACTGAGATCACAGGGAAGTGCGGCAGCGTGGCCGCTTGTGTCTCCCCAGTTCGCACAGAGGGCCTGTCTCTAGCTCCAGCTCAGTGCCAGGACCCAGTGCCCCCTGACAGAGCCAGGCCTCCTCCAGCGCTCGCTGCTGTAGGGGACTGTGCCCATCTCGGCCGACTCCAGTCACCTCACTGCCCAGGAGTCCAGGGGCTGTTTCCCACACTGCTGGCTCCAGCTCCCTCATCCCTCTCCTTTCTGAGCCCTGGATGGCACTGGGATTGTCCCTCACACTCACTGCATGGTGAGCTCCCAGAGTCGAGGCTGCCCCAATGGGCACAGTATCCCCACTGCCTGGCACGTCCTAGCTCAGGGGTCCTCAAACTACGGCCCGCAGGCCACATGCAAATACAAATATTGTATTTGTTCCCGTTTTGTGTTTTTACTTCAAAATAAGATATGTGCAGTGTGCATAGGAATTTGTTCATAGTTTTTTTTTAAACTATAGTCCGGCCCTCCAACGGTCTGAGGGACAGTGAACTGGCCCCCTGTTTAAAAAGTTTGAGGACCCCTGTCCTAACTCAACAAGGGTGTGATACACAAACAACAAAATGGCTTTGTTTCTGCTGTCGATGTTCAGGGCTTTGCATCTTGTCCTGCCTCCTCCCTCAGCCTGGGAATTGCTCCTTCCTGAGACTCTCAAAGGCTGGGTCCCAGCCTGTGGCCCCGTCCAGCCCTCAGTGGCATGAGAGGAAGGGTGGAAGATGGGAATAATTGTCAAGGCAGCTGGGCAGGGCCCCAGCGGGCACCATGGCCAGGGCTCCTGATGTCACCGGTCCTATCTGGTGAGGCGAGTGGGGGCACCAGGTCTCCTAACTCCCTCCCCTCCAGGGACCCCAGTGCCCCTCGCCCGCCCCGCACCTCATCGAAGTCGGCGATGATCTCGTTGAGCAGCCGCAGGCACTCGACACCCTCGTTGTTGGCCTCCAGCTCCACGTAGAACTCGGAGAAGTTGGCGATGGAGGCGAACATGACGGCCACGCACTCGCACGACTGGTAGTAGAGCTCGTCGTTGCGCCGCTCCCGGGCCAGGAAGTGGGCGGCCACGTCCTTGGGCAGGATGTTGTGCAGCAGCCGCCGGTTGTAGGCCTGCAGCTCCTCCATCTCCTCCTTCTCCTCCGTGGCCTGCGACAGAGGACCGGTCAGAGGGTGGGCCAAGCCATGCATGACTTAGAAAAGAGTGTGAGCCCGGCCAGTGTGGCTCAATGGTTGAGCGTCAACCACACCCTGGGGACTCAGTGGCACTCCAGCCCAGCCGGTGGCAGAGTGGAAGTGTAGGCTGGGGGCGGGGACACTGGGAACATGGCTATGGATGGGATCAGAGGCCAAACCCCCAGGCCCTGGCCAGGTGCTTCCGCCATCTGGGGGACTCGGCCCAAGACATGCTGGGCAGCTGCCAACACAGCCAGATGCTTTTAGGGTCGGACTCTGGCTGGGCAGAAGGCTCAGGGGTCAGTGCTGTGGGAGGAGGACAAGAGTGGGCTGTCCCCCGAGAACTGAGACCAGTGGTTCTGCCAGGAGGGGGCCTTGCGAATATGGGCGTTCCTGGTGCAGGGGTTCAGGGAAGCTATGGACCCCAGGCCTCCCTGCTTCCCTGTCAGTACCTACCCGCCCACCCTGACCATAGATCCAACAGCAAAATGGCTGCTGGGCGAGATGGGGGTGGGCCAACAGACTGTCCCCCACCCACCCCCAAAACCTGCATTTAGGTGTTTGGCTATTGGTATTGATTTGATGTCCCCCTCCCCAAAGCCCCAGAGCAGGATGGGAGATGGAGGGACATGGAAGCTTCATGAGCCTGTGGGAGAGCTTCCAGGGAGAGAGGCTGACAATCGCCCTCGCACTCACACATCTGTGCACAGGCCTTCTTAATTGTTTTCAAAATGGGAGGAGAGACCCAGCCATTTCCCTTCCAACCTCCTCTCCCCCCTCCCTGCCGTGTGCAGAGCCCTTGTGCCTGAGGAAGCAGGGGTCAGAGGATGGGCGCCACAGGTGGCACGCCCAGCACACACACCACAGGTGGTGAAGAGGGGAGGGGCGTGGCGGGGCAGAGAGGGGGGCTGAAGGCGTTGGGAGGTTGGCTCCATGGAGCAAAGGAGTAAATCTCCACAAGGCAATGGGCACTGGGTCTCTCACGTGCAGAGATGGTGTTTTTAAGCGTGGAGGAAGGAAGGCTCGAAAGAAGCCTGAGGTGTTGCACTAAAAATGGTATAAGGTCATGGTTTTACATATCAACAGAGAGATACTGGGGTGGTATTCATATGTCTATACGTACTTTTATTTATATGTTCATATACACTAACATGTATTTCCTAGCTTTGTCCACAGAGAGGACCTAGAACACAGCACACGGAGCCCCCGATCTTGGTTTCTAAGTACCATTCTCCACTACAGAGAACTGGGGCTCTCTGAAGAAATCCCTGACTGCTGGGCTGGAGCAGGGGAAGTACGTGATGAGCCTGAGACATCGGCTTGTGCCAGGAAGTCAGCAAATGCTCCAAGAATGATGGAGACGTGTCCAAACACAGAAGCCAACTTGAGGACACTCACAGGCCCCGGAGAATTCAAGCATTAAAGTAATGAGAGGAGCAGAGTGAAGCCCACTGAATGGGAAGGAAGCCATGAGTCCATGCTGATACAGATAAATGAGTGACTAAGTGAGTGGGGAGGAAGTGCTTCCTGATAGCAGGATGCCGGTTCACAGTGGGAGGAAGGACGGACGTGTGTCATCACGGCCAGGCAGGCAGGAGGCGCGGTGGATGCTGGGACTGGTGGGTGGAGGTTTGCTGAGGATCAGAACATTGGTGTACTGTCAGAATCTTTCCACAAAGCGCTAACTGAATGCAGAAGAGAATTCGGCATTCTGACAGTGGAGAAATCCGGCAGTCGCCCACTGAGTGGTGATCAAGGTTAACGTCACCAGGGAGGGGGCAGGTCAGCACAGTGGAATCCCCAGTGTGATGCACTGAGAAGGAGCAGCGTCATTTCCATGATTTGCCTCCAAGAAGGTGTGACCTGAGTCTGGACATGAGAAATGTCAACATCTGAGGGTCACAGCACAAGGATCTCTTTAAGACTGGCAAGGACTGAGAAGCCAGGAAAGACTGAGAAGACATGAACGAAATGCAAAGAATCCTGGGTTAGAACTGGGACCACTGCCCTGGCCAGTGTGACTCAGTGGTTGGAGCATCATCCAGTACACCAAAGGCCTGGTCAGGGCCTGTGTGTGGAGGAACTGATTGATGTTTCTCTCTCTCTCTCTCTCTCTCTCTCTCTCTCTCTCTCTCTCTCTCTCTCTCCCCCCCTCCCTCCCTCCCTACCTCCCTCCCTCTCCCTCTTGCCTCAGACTGACCTGTTGGCAAAGTCACAAACAACTCCCAGCTTAGAGGGCACAGACCTCTTAGCACAATTAGGCCTAACCTTACCACTATGCTTCTTAGATCTTATCTGGGAAGCTAATGGGCTGAGGGAGCTGCAGCAAGTGCTGCCAAAACAAGTGAAACTCACAAGAACAGGGTAACTATGGTAACCACTACCTTGTTTACCTCTGACTATAAAATAAAGGCTCAGCTTGCCTCTGGATCTCTGTGGCCTCAGCCAGGCACAGGAAGATCCACCTAGAATAAAGAGAGAACCTGGCTATGCTGATCATCTGAACGCTGTCTCCGTGTCCTTCATTCTTTGCCGACTCTGTCCATACCTTAGGGAACCCCTGGACCGCTGGGGCTGGACCCCGGCACTTCCTCTTTCTATGGATTCAATGATGGCTGTATACTCATTAGGAAAAAAAATTAAAAGAACTGGGACCCCTGGCAAAATTCAAATGGGCTTTGTGGGTGGGATGAAGCTGCTCCAGTGTTGATTTCCTGACTGGGAGGTTGGGTGGGGTGATGATGGAGTGTCTTTGCTTTTTGAAGGTGGACATCAAAAAATTTGGGGGTGATGGGGCATCATGTCAGAAGGGTGGGGGTGGGGCAATTGAGCAAATGCAGAAAAAATGGTTAGGGAATCTGATGAAGAGACTGTGGAGTTCTCTATGCTGTTCTTGTAAGTTTTCTGTAGGTTTTAAATTATTTTTTAAAACTTACTCCCCCCCAAAAGATAAAAAAGGTGGGGGGAGCATAGCTGTGGGGCCGGAGGAGGTCAGGGAGAATAAGTGGAATCAACCTGTGTCTGCTTGTGTCTCTCCTGTGTGGAGGGAAACATTAATGACACGTGTCTCTGGGGCTGCAGACACGCTGAGGGGTGATTGAGAACAGCCTGGTCCCCAAACCTCCCCAGACGCTCAGCACCACTGCAGGGCTGGGCTGCAGTCCAGGGCTGAGGGAATGGGGACTGGGCATGAGGGCGGGCCTCAGACCAGGGGCCCATGGAGGCCCCCGGCCCCTCTCTGCAGAACAGAAGAGCCACTGCAGCCTTATCCCTGAGGTCCCCCTCCCCATCCAGGGCTTCTGAGGGCCATTCCCATGCAAAACTTGTTCCCCCAACTTCAGGGTGTCCTCACTGGAGACCTCAGTGGAAACCTCACCCAGACCTCACGCAAAACACCCAGCAGCAGGGCAACCAGGTACTCCATCTTCCCTCAGCACCCAGTGAAATTCCAGGGCTCCTGCCCCGGCCGGAAGACTTCAATCTCGATGTTAATGAGGACGGAGGAGGCCTAACCAGTTGCAGATGAGCTGGAGAAGTGGTCGGGACATAGGAGCCAGGCCAGGGGAGACAAAGAGACGGAGCTATGCCATGTCCCGCAAGAGCTGGGCCGGAATAACAGGGCAGAGGCCACCTGCACACACCAGGCTTGTGCACTGTGAGTGCCCTTGGGCGCCCTCTCCTGGACCTTTGCAGGCGGTCGGCCAGGTAACCAGAGCCGCTGCCTGCACCTAGAGCGCCCTGTGAGTGGCCCAGCAGCGCCCCCTCCCGCAGGTGGGTCCCTCAGGGTGCAGGGCACGAAGCCTGGAGGCAGGACACTGGTGGACTTCAGCACCACTTGGGCACCCAGCACCCAGTGCTGCCCCTTTCTGAGACACCTTTCACCAGGGCCAGGGCACAGCCACTTGGCCGAGCTTCCGGTGGATGGTCTTTGATGCCCCTTCCATTCATCCCCCCTGGAGAATCTTCAGGCTCAGTTCTGGTCACATTAAGCCCTCTTCCTTCTGCACCCAGCCAGGCTCCTGCACTAAGGCCTCCGGGACACAGGGCTGTGTGCCCCTACTCTCCTCCTGCCACTCTTCCCACCCACCCTCCTTGCTGCTCCCACCACAGCTTGTTCTGTCGACACAACTCTAAATGCTCACAGTATTTGTGACAAGAGCAAATCTCCTGGGCCCATCCAAGCCCAGCACTGGCCAGAGTGGGTTTGGCTGGAATAAGTTCTAGGGTTTTGCCTCCTGGCCCCAGAGAGCAGGGAGCAGACCAGCGGGGACGTGGGGTGCTGGTCTGTTGGGACAAGGCCTGAGCAGGACACCTGGTCAGTGCAGCACCAAGACCCAGCCGAGCCCCGGTGATGGGCTGCTCACTCACAAAGTGCCGTGAGGCCTGAGTGCCTCCCCCACCCCAGTTCTAGCCCCAGGGCCACCCACCTGCAGTTTCCAGAGGAAGTCAAGGCGGGCGGTGGACTCCACCTGCTGGGCGTGCAGGTACAGGGCCAGCACGAAGACTGAGATGATGATGGGCGTCACCACCTTCAGCGCCACCTTGGTCGAGTGCTCAGGGCTGCAGGCAGGAGGTAGAAGCCCTGGCACCTCATGCAGGCTCCGGGGCCCCTCAGGCCTTTCGTCTTCCTCCCACTGTGTGGCCTCCCTTTCCTCACCTCCTGCTCAAATGTGGCCTGAGGTGTGCCTCTGCCAGCCTTCCAGATGGAAGCCCATCCCAGCCCCCCACGCCTGCAGCTCAGCGACCATGGCTCCTCTCCCGGCTCCTGACCCCCTGGGGACCTTCCCCCTGGCCACGTCCGAGGACGAAGGCGGCCCTTGGGTAAGGGTACGTGCACATCTCAGGTCTCTTAGTGGACAAGACAGGGGCCGTGGGCACAGTAACAAGGGAGCAAGGCAGGCCACACGGACCATCTCTGGGCAGCCTTGGGCAAGTTTCTTAACCTCCCTGAACCTTAGTCTCCTAATCTGTAAGGTGGAGTAACAATGCCCACATTTCAAACTTGTGATAAAAATTAAAAATGTTATATACAAATCCTTTGTACCTAACAGTAGCAACTCCAAAAGTGCTAATTACTATCTAATTATATTTCTGTTAACATTAAAAAGAACACTCTTAATAAAAGCAGCTATCCCAAACCCTGCTCCCTGTGCCAGCAAAGAGCTCAAATCTCAAATGCAGCTCGATGCAGGGCCTAACCCCACACCGGGGGGCGGAGGGGGCACTGGTTCCTGTCCTTCTAGGCCTGTGGGTGGACACATGCCCCTGGGGAAGAGCCTGAGGCTGAACGCTTCAAGGTGAAGCCTGTGGAATGGCCTGTAGGACCCGAGGCCCCGGCCCGAGTCTACAGATCACCTTGGGGTGGTGGGATCATAAAAAGGGGGGGCATCTACCCAATGGGGCCCCCTTGATAGGAGGGAGGGGAGGGCCCACCTGCCACAAAGCCCCCTCCCACCTGGGCCCCTCTGCCTTCTCTGCTGGCCCCGCTGCTCTGTGCGAAGGGAGGGAGAGGCCCTCTCTGAGAACTCAGAGAGAGAGAGAGAGAGAGAGAGAGAGAGAGAGAGAGAGAACATCAACTCACCACTGGGAGGTCCCGTTGTTGTTGAAGTCTCTGTGAACAGAAGTGGGGAGGGCAGCTCAGTGCCTGCTGTATCCCCCACCCTGCTGTGTCCCCACCTTGAACTGCCCCCCACCCTGCTGTATCCCTCCACTCTGCTGTTCCCCCACCCTGCCCTGCCCCCCACCCTGCTGTCCCCCCACCTTGCTGTGTCCACCCACCCTGCTGTGCCCCCACCCTGCTCTGACCCCCAAATCCAATACTGCTACTCCCACTGCTAGTGCTCCTTCGCCCCCACCCCAGCACCCCTCCTGATCCAGGGAAGCTCTCAGGATGGGAGGGTTGCAGAAAGCCCAGTACCACCTAGCATCTGGGCGCCATGACCACACACTACCCAGCCTTTACCTGGGACCCTGGGGACCCAGGCGTATCCACCTCTCCCAGCCCAGCCCTTTGCACCATCCAGGATGTTCGCCACTGTCCACATGGGGCTACTGAGCTTAAAGGAGTACTGAGTGCCAGTGTGTGGCTACTGCATGGGGCCTTGCTAATACAGCTACTAGGAAATTCTGAATTACATCTGTAGTTTGAATTATTCATCTATTGGACAGTGATGGCCTAGAGCCAAGTCAGGGTCTCCCAGCCCAGAAATGACCTCCATTCTCTGCTGCTACTTCAGCAGGAGAGGAGAGAAGAGGGGAGGGGAGGGGAGGGAGAGAAGGAGAGGGGAGGGGAGGAAGGGGAGGCTAGGAGAGGGGAGGAGAGGGAGGAGCCGCTAAGAAAGAAGAGGCAAAGATCCCACTCCCACCTGACCCAGGGGTAGAAAGGCCCAGACCACTGTCCTCTCCTCCTCTCAGGGCTGCAGCCGGCCCTGCTCCCAACGCTGCAGGGTCTCCCCGCCATCTGCCCACAGCCCCACGCAGCCACCAGAAGCTCTTCCTTGAATCTGACTTAGGTCCTTCGTTACACCTTCGTCCTCCAGGTGATACCCTCTTCACAAGCAGTGCCGGTACCTCACTGCTAGCTGGGTGCCCACAGCACGGCAGGCCGAGGGCGTCCTTGGGGATTAAGGGCCTCCCCTGGCTCAGAGAGCACAGCCTGCCGCATTTCCTCAGGGGACGGGCCTGCCACTCACATTCTTCGTGCTTCCTGAGTGCGCATTGGGCGGGGGGATGTGTCCTGCATATCATACTACACTTTACACACATTTTATGACTGTGGGCATTATTATTCCCACTTTACTGGGAGAAATAATGAGGCTCACGTGTATCTGAGGCTGAGACTGAAACTCAACTTGACCCAAAGCTAGAGAGAGATCTTGCCCCTCAGTAATCGGACATCTGCCGCTCTGTGGCCAGGCTGACGGCCAGCTAGAGAGCCTGGGGCCCTGCGTCCCACACCCCCCGTCCCCCGGACCGTGGGACTTCACCACTCGCCATCACAAGCAGGAGCCTCTGAGCCGGGCACAAACCACCCAACGTCCCTGGCAGCACGGCCTACTTGGTGGGGATGGAAAGTGGTCATGAATGTCCAAGGGCCTGCCGCCAGGTGGGACAGGACGCAGGGTCCATGAACACAGAGGCCCTTCCTCTGCTCCCAAAGACCTTGCTAGCCAGCCCTGTGACCTCGACCCCTGGGCACAGGGTGCACAGGAAGCTGGAGTGAAAACAGCTCCTCCGAAGCTGCCCTGGAAATGTCAGGGACAATTATCTGAGGCCCAAGGGCAGGGCTGAGTAGGAAACTGGAGGGAACCGTGGGGCCAGCCACCCCGAGGCCACTGTGCTTCTGGGAAAGGGAGAAACGGAGAGAAACTAGGTGGTCAGAGCCACAGGACCCCCCCCCCCCCCCGCCCCCAGCCCAGGGCCCAGACTCCTGCTCTTCCCACCTTTCTGCAATGCCCAGACCCAGTGGGGGCCTGAGGAGGGTGCCACCTACATGGCATTGGCGGTGACCAGAAGGTCGGCATTGTCAAAGAGCGTCACACCGGGCACCTCGACGACGAGCACGTATATGAGCTCGATGGCCAGCATAAGCACCAGCTTCCCAATGCAGCTGATTTGCAGGAACACGGAGCAGGCCAGCAGGCTAAGCAGCACGCTGTAGGTGAAGTACTAGGGAGAGAGAGCAGCAGGCCTCAGCGGCCGGCCCGCCCCTCAGGCCCCGCCCCCGCCGGGCCCCGTCCCCCAGCGTCCATCCAGCCTGAGCCCGCCTCAGGGAAGCCGCGCCTGGGGATATTTCTGCTGATGCAAACCTGTGGTGTGACGTGAAGGGCCCTGATGAGGAACCAGGAGATGGGGCTCCCTCCAGGCTGGGTTTGACCAGCACTGTCAGCAGCGCCCATGGTTAGAGCACAGCTCCAGGCTCAGGCCGACTTGAGTTACATCCTGATTCACGATGCACTGTTTGTGTGACTTGGACCATGTACTCAATCTCTCTAAACCTGTTTCCCTGTTTGCAAAATCCCCTATCTCATGGGCACACGGTGACGATGACCCGAGATGAGGTGATTTGGGGCAGTGCCCTGCACCCCCAATAACTGTGGGGATCACAGGTCCCAAACTCCCGATTTGCAGCTTTAAATCCAAAGCTCTAAAAACTGAACATGTTTTCCTAACTGATGTGGTGGCAACCTGACCCACCTGATGTGCCGTTAACTCTCATCTTTATCCTGCTTCCTGCGACTATTCATACACTTTGCTGCAGAAATATTAGCATGTTTCACTATCAGCTGCTACTCACACTGCACTGGGGGTGTGAGGAAACCTCTTAAAATCTGAAGAGTTCGGAAGTCCAAAATATACCCGCCCTGGCAGGCTTCAGACCAGGGGCGGTGGCCCTGTACGATTTACTCTGGGGGAGTGTCTTCTGGCTTCCGAGCCTCAGTTTCTCAGACAACCGAGGGGCTGACTCAGGTAGACGCAGAGGCCCCTTCTGCTCTGCCGTCCGCAGTGCTAATCCCAGACATGCCAGCATCTATTATTTTGTTCTTGCTTTCAAATTTAGCATCATTATTTCTGAGTCAGACATTGGGACTCGCTATTCACTGCCTCTGCCTTGGCTGGAGGCCAAAAGGCGGTGGCTGGCAGTGAGGTTGCCCCCAGGTTGGACTTCCTGACTCCTCAGGCCTTCAGGAACCCCGAGAGGGACTGCAGAGGACCCCTGTGATCGAAAGGGGAGGGACCAGCCTCAAGTCACCACCAGGAACAGGGGCAGAGGAAGGAGTAGGGAGGCAGACCCAGTTAATTCAGCCCAAGGATAATAAGCCCGTCCTTGAGGGATGGGGAGGGGCCACCAAGAGCAGCCTGGACTGCCACTGGGACCCAGAGTCCAGACAACCAGGAGGCGAAGGCTTAATGCTGGGCTGCCCAAGGGCCTTAGGGTTTGTGACTCAGAACAGCCATGTGGGGTGGGTCAGCCCTGGAGCATGTAGCCAGCAGGGATAAGCAGGCTGAAGCTGGTGGCACTGGTGAGGACCGAAGACTGACAGCTGGACCACCCATCTCCAGAAAACGGGGAGCTACAACAGGCTCTGCCCTGCCCTGTCCCCCACTCCTCCGCGTCTTCCCTGGAGGACACCAAGGGACAAGTGCGAGACCAGAAACAGCTTCTCAGCAAATAGCCCTCAGGCAGCAGCTCCGTGGGCTCTTGTCCAGATGTGAGAAGGAACAGAGGCAGGAGAGGAGGGCGGTGGCTGCGAGGCCTAGGCCTGCCCCCCCAGGTGCCTGAGGAGCGTGGCCGCCCAGGGAGAGGGAGCCCTTGGCCTGAGCCCCGGGACAGGAGGAGGGGAAGCCCTGGTCTAGGGAGCATCGTGGAGTCCGGCTCCTCACTGAGTTTCCCTTGCCCTGTCTGTGCCGCAGGGCAGGCCAGGCTCCCTTCCAGGGACGGGAGAGAGGCCACTGTGGCCGCCCAGGGGTCCGCACTGCAGTTCTGGGCCTTGTGAGCCATGGGCCCCTTGGGACTTGAATGAATGCTTGGACCCTCTCCCCAGGAAAAGGCAAAACTGTCATCATCTTACAGGCTTCATATGAAATGGGAACTGAGGTGTGGGAATCACCCAGTACATGGAGGCGATGCCCTGCGTTGGAAACCTGGCCTGCTGCTCCCTTGCAAACTGCTCCCCAAGAAAACGCAGTGAGGTGACTGGAGCAGCTCACGGACCACAGGCATTTAACACACGTCATTGTTAAACCCAATAAGCTACAGGTACACCATTTCTTCTCGGGGTGACGGAAATGTTCTAAAATCAGATCATGATGATGGCTGCACAAGCGTGTGACTATGCTAATAGCTACTGAACTGTACACTTTGCAGGGGTGACTTCCCTGTGCCCCTGCTCTCTGACCCACAGCAGGGGCTTGGCCGGGTTCTCCAGAGGCAGCCTTGGGTCCTGCCCAAGCCGAGGGTCCAGAAACAGCTCCACCCCCGGGCTCAGAGCACGAACTCGGGAGCCAGATGAGCTGGGTAGGAGCCTGGCTCTGCCTCTTACGACCTGCGTGACCTTGAGGAACTTATGTAAGCTGCCTGTGCCTCGGTTCATTTGCATAGAGGAGGTAATAACCGCATCTGTGTCACAGGGCTGCTGTGAAGATGACAAGAGTAAGTGTCTGTAACGCACTCAGCACAGTGCCTCGCGGTGGTGAGTACTGTGTGAGCAGGGCTGGGCTATTGCTGGTGTTACTGTTGCGTTGAGGAGGCTGGCCTCCTTCACTGTGTCTGGCACGCGGAGTGAGAGAGATCGAGGGAATGAGGTCACTGAAAGGGCAGTGACCTTGAAGCCCCTGACTGTCCCTCAGAGCAGCTCTTGGCAGAGATGGCGGGGCGGGGGGGGAGGCGGGGGGACAGGAGGCTCTCCATCTGCACCCGCCCCTCCAGCCCGGTACCTCGGGGAAGTTGCAGTTGGGCCAGGGGCTGTTGCAGAAGCCCTGCTCATCCCCCAGGCTGTAGTTGAAGGCGGACTCCACCACATGGCACGCGTTGACCTGGCTGGTGCTGACGTTGTGTTCATCTGCCAGGCAGCCGAACAGGTCCTGGGAGTTGCACATGAACTGGGGGCGGGGAGGAGAGTCAGCGGTGAGCCAGGCCAGGGCGGCCCATCCCCACAGGGCAGTGGGCTCCTGTTCACTCTCCGTCTTGGGTGCAGTCTGATCCCGACCCGGGACAGGAGAGGAGCCTGGAAGAGGCTGAGGACCTGGCAGTGCCTGCGCCCAGGGCGGGGCTCCCATACATTCCCTGGGGACTTCCAGAGACCGGGAGCGGCTTTAGGAGTTAACCTGATCCCAGGCCTGAGGTGGGACCCAAAGAAGACTTCCCGGGAGGGAGAACTCCAGGGTCTGGGGGAAACTCTCCTTCCAGCCCATGCTCAAGGGGGGCAGGGCTCCCCCGGTTTCACCCAATGGGGCCGGAGAGGTGGAACCACCCACCATGTTGACAAAAGCCGACAGGAACACCAGGGTGATGGTGAACACCCCGACCAGGGTGCTGTTCATCTTAGACCGCACGATCTTCCTGGAGAGGGTCTGCAGGGGGCCTGGGAAGAGCTGGGGGGGGGGGCGGGGGGAGGAGAGAGAAACCCACACAGAACAGAATTCAGTGGGCACGCCACAAACTGCCATAGAGCCAGATCTCCTGTCACCTTTGTCTCTGGCCAGCTGACGCAGGCCTGAGACGCACTCCGGTGTGTGAGCCTCCTGCCTGGCACCGCTGCTTCCGGGCCCACAGTCCAGGTTGTGCAGCTGGCCAGGGCGGGTCTACCGGGACCTTACAGGTGAGAGAAGCAGGATGGAAGGAAGAAGGAAAGATGCTATCTCGACTCCAACAGGGAAGCAGAGGGAAAAGCACTGGTACCCACTGTGAATTCTGGGAGTTACAAACAGGGAGGGACAGTAGGTGGCGGCTGAGGAGTCACAGAGGGTCAGAAGGCTCCTCAGAAGAAAGAGATGAGGTCCGGCGTGTGGAGGAAGGGGGAGAGCTGGTGAGAAGGGGCAGAGCAGCCTGTGAGCAGGAGGGTGGGCCACGGACCAGTGAGTTCAGGGAGCCTTTTTCAGCAGGACGCTCATGGATCTGCCATTTCCCTCGCCCAACCCTCCCCGTATTCCCTTCAACTAGACAAACTGTACGTGCACTAAGAGACCCACAGTGGTTTTGGTAATTATAGGATTGGGTCCCAGCAAGTCTGACACAGTTGGCCTTGTCCACCATGTCCTCCGCATCTCCCAACCAGCCTAGACTAAGAAGAAGCCGGCAGACCCGGGGGAATGGAAACTGCCCAAGAGCCCATCAGTTTGATGAAGGGATCAACAAATGTGATACAGCCACACAAAGGAATATTGTTTGGCCATAAAAAGAAATAAAGGGCTGTTACATGATGGTATGGCATGGATGAACCTTCAAAATATGATGCTAAGTAAATAAGACCAATTTCAAAAGGCCACATGCCGTATGATTACATTTATACAAAACTAGAGGCCTGGTGCATGACATTTGTGCACTTGGGGGTGGGGGGGTAGGGGAGAGTCCCTCAGCCCGGCCTGCGCCCATTCACAGTCCAGGAGCCCTCAGGGGAGATGTCTGACTGACCGGGAGACCTTGGGGGGGATGTCTGCCTGCGGGGAGTGGGCTTAAGCTACAGTTGGACATCCTTAGCACTGCCATGGAGGCGGGAGAGACTCCTGCCACCGCAGCTGCGCTCGCCAGCCATCAACCCGGCTTGTGGCTGAGCGGCGCTCCCCCTGTGGGAGTGCACTGACCACCAGGGGGCAGCTCTTGTGTTGAGCATTTGCCCCCTGGTGGTCAGTGCGCATCATAGCGTTGTTCCTCCATTCGGTCGATTTGCATATTAGCCGTTTATTATATAGGATGTCCAGGACAGGCCAATTCACAGAGACAGAAAGTAGATTAGAGGTGGCTGTGGCCGTGGAAAGCAGGGGACGTGCAGTGACTGCTGACAGGTGTGGGGTTTCTTTGGGGGGTGATGACAATGTTCTGGCATTTAGATAGTGATGATAGTTGCACAACTTAATGAATATACCAGAAACTACTAAATTACAATTCCAGCCACCTTTATAAAGTGGATTTTATGGTATGTGAATTATATTTCAATAAAGCATTTAATAAAAATCCTGCTCAGCCTCTTACTAGCTGTCTGGTTCTGGGGAAGTGGGGAAGGACTGAGCCTCAGTTTCCTCGTCAGTAAGTAGGGAATATCTTCAAGGTGGCTAAGAAGACGCAAGGAAATGATGCATTGGAAAGTGCCGTGTAAGCTGTTAAATTCAATAGAAAATTTAGTTAATATTTGCATTCTAAAGAGGTATGTTGCCAGTAAAAATGAAGGTCCTTGTTTCCTATTAAAGGAATTTGGGGTTTCACAGCTGGGGGAAGCAGTTTGGCACTGGCATCAGCATCTCACTCTGAAATGATGTGACAGATGGTTTCTAATCTTTGCCTGATTCAAATTTTGCCATTCCATCCCACCCCCACCCATGTTGCTTAAATTGTTTTAGTTCTGATCACCCTATCCATCAACTGAAGGGTTTCCTTCATTATTCTGCAATCACCAAGGATCAGAGCAGGATATGCCCATGGGCTGCCTAGTCAAGGGGGACCAGGAGCCCCACAGGGGCCACCCAGAGGCTAGGAGAAGAACTGCAGGCTTAAAAAGAAAACCAATCCAGAATATCATTCTAACATCTAATGAATGATTGAGTCTTAGTGCACTGGCTTGCTACAGGCCAACATCCTTGTCACCCTTTCAAAAGATCCACTCTTGACTTTAAAAACCTCAACCAGAACCCAGGAATTGCTGCTTTTTGAAATCTGCAAAAGATGTGCCATCCTGCCCTGGTTTATAGAGTACCTCATCTCCTGTAATTGAAAAGTTCATCAACATGTTGAGCCTAATTTCCACCTTTACTAATAACTACAGTGTGGATGACAAAACTTCACACGGCTCAGAGTCCCCTTGCAGGGCTGCAGGCAGACCCAAGAGGGCATTTTTACGGCAGGACATTGTGTCTGTGCAAACTAGCTGCTCAAAGCTTGCTCCCAATCAGAGCTCAGAAAAAGGATCAATGAAACAAATTCCAAACCAGTACATTCCCAGTCTAATGAACTCAAATCAATGTAATATAAATACAGGAGCGGGGACATAATTAATAAGTCCTGCTGGGTGAGGGACAGTTTTGATCCTGGCCACTCTGAAAGTCTCCAGGCAAATTGATAACTTCCCTGGCGCCTGGTTCCCATCGATTTTCAGTGTCGCTCTGCTTTCCCTCTGAGAACATTTTCCCTTTACCAGATCTCAGTGGTCATCGCATTCCCACGGTTTCTCAGTCTCGGCTTCACTGAGAAAGGTCCCCCGGTTCCGTCAGACATGGGATTTAAATCCCAGCTGTACCGCCTCCAAGCTCCAGGAACTGGGAAAGCAGCCTTATTAACCTCTCTGAACCTATTTTCTTCACCGGCCAAGTCGATGCAATAAAAACCACCTAGAGCAGCGATTCTCAACCTGTGGGTCACCAACCTGTGGGTCGCGACCCCTTTGGGGGTCAAACGACCCTTTCACAGGGGTCGCCTAAGACCATCGGAAAACACATATATCATTACATATTGTTTTTGTGATTAATCACTATGCTTTAATTATGTTCAATTTGTGACAATGAAAATACATCCTGCATATCAGATATTTACATTACGATTCATAGCAGTAGCAAAATTACAGTTATGAAGTAGCAACAAAAATAATTTTATGGTTGGGGGTCATCACAACATGAATAACTGTATTAAAGGGTCGCGGCATTAGGAAGGTTGAGGACCACTGACCTAGAGGCTCAGGAAGCACAGCTCAAGTGGCACAGCTGGGATCTGGACCTAGACTTCCTGACTCAAATATCGGTGAACATGTGTCTGCCAACATCCTCTCCCTAACAGACAGAAGGTGGCCCTGAGCATAGTGGTGGGGAGGTGAGTGTGGGAATCCTAAGGACAGAAGATACTTAAGAGGGGAGGGGTAGAGTCGTAAGACCCTGTGTTAGACACTGTGGGCGGCAGTCAGGTGGAGGGTGGTGAGGACAGCCAGCCAGGTGAGACTTAGCCTCCTTCAGGCTGTGGGGAGAGAAGAGGCTTGTGGAGACTGTACAGAGCGGACAGAGCCTAAAAGCTCAGACATCCAAGTCCCAGGGGTCGGTAGGATGCAAACTAAGAAGGAACCAGCGGCCTGGAGGATGAGGGAGATAGACACACATGCATGCACGTGTGCACACATACACACATGTGCAGAGAAGTATGTGGCTGAGTACTCCTCCTGGCCTCTCTGTACCCAAGTCCCAAACTGCAGGGCAGGAGTCTGGCCTTCAGGAAAGGATGTGCTAATGAGCCTCAGTGAAGGCAGGGACCCAGATCCACCTGTGGGGAAAGGAGGGAGCCACCCTCTCCTACCCATTTGGGTGGTGGCTAAAGTGGCGGCACTGTCAGGGGCAGGCCTGGGCTACTTCACAGAAGATGGGATGGAAGCCACAGGGAGAGGGATGGGACAGTCAGAGCTGGCCAAGGAGGAAAGGGTGGGGACGGGGGTGGGGGGGGGGGGGGGGCGGAGACTGCGTTCAGGAGATGTGAGCTCGATCACCGACCTGGAAGTGACCAAGCAGAGGCTGGCCCATGCCTCGCTGGGTTATGATAGAGGGAGTCCAGCCTCAGGGGGGTGTCAGGGCTGCCTCACTACTCAAGCCCCTTCCGATCTGAAATTCTCTGAGGCTGTGGACCATGTGTGATGGCGGGAGGGATTTAGGATGGCCCTCTAAGAGGAGCAGCAGCGGGCCCAGGGTGGCACGGATGCCAAGGGAAGAGGAGAGTGCCGTGTGCAGGTTCAGACAAGGCAGCATCACCAGAAGGAAGTGTTCAGTGGTGATCCTCAGGGCAAGGCACCCCAGAGACAGTGGGCTCAGGGGGGCAGCCGATGTGCTCTGGAAATGAGACCAGGACTTCAGGACAAGATGAAGACCAAGGCATCAAATGAGCCTCCGAGAGCCAGCTGGGGCTGTGTGTGAACTGGGCCATGCTGGTCAGGAAGAGATAAGACAAACCCAGTGGCAAGGCGACCACAGCCCTCAGCGAGTAGGAAGGGAAATCGCCCAGCAGGAAGGAGCGGGAATGGCTCCCTGGCGGAGCCCGGACGACCACCAATTCAGCCGCCACTTTCTTCACACTCTTCTCTTCAAAAGGGTTACAATATGGACGAATTGGGAAAGTAAGCCCACATTGTCTGGGGGAAATGGGAACGTCAATAAAATGGAGGAAGAAGCACGTCTGACGGAACTGCTTGGTTTTGTCTCTGCGGCGCCTGTACCGGGCGGGGTACGGGAGGAGCTGCTGCATCTCAGGGAAAAGCCACCAGCCGAGGCTGAGAACCCGTGGGATGCGATGACCACTGAGCTCTGGTAACGGGCAAATGTGCTCAGAGGGAAAGCAGAGCGACACTGAAAATTCTAGTCCATCAGCTTCGCCGCAAACACCTGCAAAGGTGATCGAATCAGCGCTGTCAGTCCGCCTGCAGGCAGGTGCGACTGTGCTAGTGCCAGGCCCACATCCTGCATCAGGAGGGAGGGCCAGGCTGCCCGTGTGCACCCCAACAGGGAGAACTGCCCCTTTATGTCTCACTTCTGGGGGGCAGACAGCCAACGGGCAACGTGAAAGCGGAGAGGAAAATAACGAAACAAAAGAGGGGTCTGTTCCACCTACGACTTCTCAGGTTGGGGTCTACTTCCCAGAAACAAACGCTGAGAGGACAGCTTGTCGAGAGCTGGGAGGGAAGCATGGGACCCAGGGTTGGTGTCAGAGTGAGTTCCGCTCCTGGCCCAGCTCAGCAGGTTCCAGACTTGACAGGCCAGAGGATTTTTTCCTAAACAGTGTTTACAGAAGCTCTATTTGCAAGATGGAAGAGTGGTCACCCTGGTTGGAGGGCGGGGCTGGTGGGGGACCACCTGGGGGTGAGGAGGTGGGCATTCCACCAGCCATCCTCCCCTCGAGGAAACTGGGTCTCCTCAGAAGCATCAGAAAGACCACAGGGCTGGATGCAGGATCGGAGAACAAGCTGAGTGTGGCAGTGATTACAGACTAGGTAGAGTCAATAAAACAGAGGAGGCAGGAATGCTCCCCATGAATAACCGTGAACAGGGGTGAAAAGAATTCACTAGACCAAAGCACTAACTCAAAATGGCCAGTGCAGGCGGGGGAGAAGGAGGGCTGGGAAGTAGGGGTGGTGCGGATACGAACGGGCTCCCCTCTTTTCCTCCTCCCCTAACTCCTCTTCCTCCCGCACCATCAGAGGCACATGCAGATGGGGAACACAGATCCAGTGAAATCCGTGTAGCCCAGATCTACCCAAGCAGCTAGGAGGAAAGAGGGAAATCTCTTGTGGTCTAAGTACTGTAGCCCACAGGTAGCTTTGGTCTGGCTTCCATAGACTACACACGTGCCTCAAACAATGACTTTGCCTCAGCTGATAAAGAGATCCTTTTGGGGTTCAGAACAAATGTTTAAGAGGCCCTTTTAGCTATCATGTACTTTTTTTAAAAGATTGTTTTGACTCTTTTTATTGTGGTAAAATATAAATGACATAAAATATGCCATGTTAGTCATCTTAAGTGCACGATTCAGTGGCATTAATTACATGCACCATGTTGGGCAATCACCACTGCCATCTCTTTCCAAAACCCCTTCATCACCCCAAACAGAAACTGTACCACTGGCCAGTAACTCCCCACCCCCCTCCTTCCGACCCCTGGTGTCCTGTAATCTACTTCCTGTCTCGATGAATTTGCCTGTTCTAGATATTTCATATAAGTGGAATCATGCAATATATGTTCTTTTGTGTCTGGCTTCTCTCACTTAGCATGATGTCCACAAGGTTCAGCCATGTTGTAGCATGTGTCAGCACATCACTGCTTTCTATGGGCAGGTAATGTTCCATTGTACACATATACCACTCGGCTTACCTGTCCACCGGCTGATGGACACGGGGCTGCCTCCACCTTTTGCCTCCTGTGAGTATGTGGGGTGCTCTTACAGCCGTGAGATGAAGAAAGTGGGGCTCCCACTGGGGAACTAGCAGGCTGGGGGTGGGGAAGGCTTGACAATGAAAGAGAGGACCCAAGGCAGGAGGTGGCTGAACGTAGAGCCTTGAGGGAGAACCAGTGGAGGGACAGGGAACCAGGATGAGCCTGTGATGCAGCGAAGCCACCGGCTTCCAACATGGCTCCACGTGCCAAGTGACCCAGCCCGCCTGCGCCTCCCTGGGCATCCACTTCAGGGGCACCTCCCTGGGCACCTGCTCAGGGGCACTTGCTCAGGGAGGGCTGCACCACGCCAGATCATTCCCAAGGCCTTCCGGTTCTGACAGTCAGTCCACCAAGACCTTGCTATCAGGTGATGAAACAGTTAACACCCTCATGAAAGACCCTTTCCGGAAGGACATGTGCCCACTGAGGAGTGTGCAGGGTGATGGCAGGGCCTGGCCCACCCCACCCCAGCCCAGGGGCGTGGCTCTGAGCGAGTGTCAGGAGGAGCAGAGAAGTAGCCCAGGCAGAAGCTGGAGGGGCTGTTCCCTGCCTGGGCACAGAGGGCTCTCTGGGACCGACTGGCCCCTCCACCCAGGGAATTCTGAGTCCACTGGAAGGAAAAGAAGAGCCAGACTTGGTGGGTAAGGCAAACAGGAACCTGTACTTGCTACAATGGACCCGAACGGCCTGTGGCCAGGTCCCTCCCAGGACACAGCTGGCTGGTGGGCACAGCACGCCCCAGAGAAGGCGTGAGAGGGAAACACAGGACAGGGCCTCGTGCCCACGTTACCCGCTGTGTGGCCCTGACTGAACCACTCACCACTCTGCGCCTCCTTCTCGTCTATACAATGAGCAGCTCCAAAGCCATCATCTCCTTGGTCCCCTCCAGGGCCCATTCCAGAGCCCACGGGGACACTGAGGAGGGTGGCGAGAGGTCCCTTCCACACCCATCCTTTCAGCAAATATCTGACCACTGCTTCATGCCAGGCACTGTGCTAGGTGCCCTTCCTCCACCCGCCAGACACCGAGGGACAGACAAGAGAGGGGGCGACACCATCTTCTTGTTGCAAAGACCTATGAAGGCTGATTGCACAGTCAATACAAACGAGACTCCACGGACCGACCACCCCCTCAGTCCAGCCTGCGGCCTGGGCCAGCCGAAAGCTGTGACCCCGCACCACACGCCCCGATCCGGAGTGGGGCCATTAGGCTGCTGGGAGGGCCCGTCAGTGGGCGGGGACGGAAGGGAAGATGGAGGCAAGGAAGGGGGTGCGGCTCAGGTGCCAGCCAGACTCACCTTCACGCAGGAGTAGATCACGGACACAAATACCACCAAGGTCAGCAGCACAAAACAGGTCAGGTAGAAGCTCAGCATGAACACGGAGCTGAAGGAGAGAGGAGATGACGGGATGGAAGTGCAGTCACGTCCAGGAGGCGGGCAACAGCTTCTCGCGGGCTGACCCGCAAGCCGGCTGCAGGGCCCTCCTCACAGTTCTGGGGCTGGGGCTCTGAGCGCCCCTGGGAAGGAAGCAGAAGTGGCTCCATTTCCCCTGCTCCCACCACCCAGGCTTCCCTAGCCTGACTCGCTCAGAAGGGCTCACGCAGCCTTGCGAACCCATCCAGGACTCTCCTCCGTGACCGTCTGGCTCCTGCCCTTCCCACCCTCCCACGCCTTCTTGTGGAGCAGCAGCCACAGGGCGCCGAGTGGAGAAGTGGGAGAAACCTGCTCAGCACTTCGCCTAATTCTTAGCTATCCACGCACTCCCTTCATTTACCTTAAGTACCACACACTCCCTTCATTTACCTTGGAAGGACTCATCTTAAAAATCACTTGGGCCCTGGCTGGTTTGGCTCAGTGGATAGAGCGTCAGCCTATGACCTGAAGGGTTCCGGGTTCGAGTCCAGCCAGGGTCTCGATCCCCAGTGGGAGGCATGCAGGAGGCAGCCGATCAATGATTCTCTCTCACCATTGATGTTTCTATCTCTCTCACCCTCTCCCTTCCTCTCTGAAGTCAATAAAAATATACTTTTTAAAAAAATCACTTGGTTATTCCCTCCCTCCAAGCAGCCACCCATGGCTCGCTTGATAATTATGAAGGCTGAAACTGATTTGATAAACAGCCATCTTTATAGAAATGCATTGGTCAAGCTGCTAAACCAGTCACTCTGAGAAACAGCAGTCATGTCCCTTCGAAGGACAGAGCCCCTAAACCCTGACCCCTCCCACTGCCAAGGCCCCCAAGGCCTGCTCCATTTGTGCTCTCCGATTCCCAACCAGTTCAACAAAAACTGAGGCAGAGCACAGGTGACCCTAACGTCCACCGCAGACCAGAATCCTCGGACGAAAGAGCTGCAAGCGACTTTGCATCTGGAACCTTCCACTGGCGCTCCTGGGGCAGGGGCTGGTCCAGGAGAGGCACACCCCACCCCGTCACAGGAGGGAGGCCACTGAAATCCCTTCTCTCTCAGGGAGGGCAGTGGCCCGGGGATGCCAGGCGTGTTGGCAGGTTGAAGGCAAGTGATGGGCTTGGGGAGGCAGGGGAGGCCTCTAGGGAGGCGTTCAAGTGAGGTCTCTGTTCCAGGCTCCTCCGGAAGCCAGCACTTAGCTGCTCTAAACAGCCTGAACAGGGGAGAGAACTCTCTTCCGAGAGAAAGAAAGACTTTTAAAGTAGCTGTTAGCTTCTACAGAGAGAGGACGCTAGAGAATGACCTCCCTCGATGCCTTAGCAACCTGGTGCTGTGGCCTGAGGAGGGAACCAAGCAGCTGGAGGCAGGCAGGGTGTTGGGATAACACCACCCCCCCCTCCCCCCGGCCCTGCATCTACCCGCCCAAGCCGAGCTGCAGGATTGTGCAGCCAAATGAAGGCGGCTTTTATTTGCAATGGGACAGAAAGTCTAGGGTGCTTATTTACACCTGTAGCTCCCTTCAATTCAGAAAAAATGGGGTCCTATGCCCAGAGAACCCATAGCCCCAGCAGCTCTGCACACCTCCGTGCCGGGCCTCCAGGAGCAGCTGCTGCCAGGGTCTGGTTCTCGGCTGCGGAATCCTGACAGAGTCACAGCCGGTAAAAGGTGAGAGCCAGCTCTTCAACAGAAAGTGCCATTAGAAATAAAAGGCGTTGAGTAGTGAGACACGTGGACATCACATACCTCCTGACAGGAGGCACTGAGGGCATCACTGCTGTGGGCTCTTGTCAAAAAGCATAACCTCAATGTGATCGTGAGACAACATCAGGCAAACCCAAACGGAGAAACAGTCTACACGTTCACTGGCCAGTGCTCATCAAAAGGGCCACGGCCGTGAAGGACACGAAAAGGCTGAGACAGTCTCACAGATTCTGGGGGACTAAGCAGATACAGCGGACTGCAGTGTGGGGTCCTGGACTGGCTTTTGGGCCACAAAAAGGCTACTCGCGGGCACCCTGATGAAATTAGAATATGGTCTGTAGATTAGTTAAGAGTATCATTGTAGTGTTCAGTTCCTGGGTTGGACTATTCTACTTAGGTTATGTAAGTTGTCAGCATTAGGTAAATTGGATAAAAGATGTAAAGAAATGCTCTGTAGTATTTTTGTAACTTTTCCGAGTCTACAATTATTTCAAAACGAAGAATAGAAGGCGTTCAGGTGAGGGGACTCTTCTAAATTAATTTAAGTTGGACTTCGGAGACATAACCAAAGGCAACCAGTGGGTCCAGAGTAGATCCTGGCTGTGAATAAACTAACCGTAGAAGGCATTTTAGAAATCTGAACCTGAACATGGTATTAGATGTTCATGGTAGAGAAATGGGGTTAACTTTGTTTGGTGTATAAGGCAATGTGGTTAAGAAGGAAAATGCCCTTAAAATAGGTGTATATTGAGGTTTTCAGGGGCAAAATGTCCTTGTGCTTAAAATTTACTTTAAAAAACAAAACAAAAAAAGCAGAAAAGCTCTAGCAGGTGTGGCACAGTTGGCTGAGCATTGTCTCATGCATGGGAAGGTCGCCAATTTGATTCCTAGTCAGAGCGCCTACCCAGGTTGCAGGCTCGATTCCTGGTTGGGTGTGTGCGGGAAGCAGCTGATCAATGTTTCCCTCTCTCTCTCTCTCCCCCCCCCGCTCCCTCCAAACCCTCTCACTCTTTCTCTCTCCTTCCCTCCTCCTCCTTTCCTCACTCTCTAAATAAGCAATTAAAACATATATATTTTAAAAATAAAAAGTAACAGAAAAAATGTAAAATATTAACAATTATTATGTCTAGGGCAGTGGTTCTCAACCTTCCTAATGCCGCGACCCTTTAATACAGTTCTTCATGTTGTGGTGACCCCCAACCATAAAATTATTTCCATTGCTACTTCATAACTGTAATTTTGCTACTGTTATGAATCGTAATGTAAATATCTGATATGCAGGATGTATTTTTCATTGTTACAAATTGAACATAATTAAAGCATAGTGATTAATCACAAAAACAATATGTAATGATATATGTGTTTTCCGATGGTCTTAGGCGACCCCTGTGAAAGGGTCGTTTGACCCCCAAAGGGGTCGCGACCCACAGGTTGAGAACCGCTGGTCTAGGGGATGGGTAATAATTATATTAATTACTTTACCTTTCTGCATGTTTGAAACATTGCATAATAAAAAGTTTAAAATGTGGAGCAGTTTATTTTCTTGCCTAGGCACAACCCTGCTGTGAATGACTAACACATCATTTCTAAAATCCCACTGCCACTCAGAGTGGTCCCCTAGGAAGCCATGGGCCTCTTAGTGACACAGCCAGTCCTCAGAGAGTTCAGGAGCATGTCTCTGAGAAAGCTTTCAGAACCTAAAGTCCATTCTTCAAATTATCCAGCGTAGGAAATACCCTTTATCTTTGAAAGATGTGTTGCTTTTTTTTTGCAAAAACCAAAGGCCACGCTGAAAGGAGCCTGGCCAATCTGGGTGATTCAGTGGGCACCGTGGTGTGGAGACCCCATACGGCGGGGCAGTGCCCAGGGAGAGGTTTCCGCCCTCAAATGAGCACGTGGCCTCCCAGTGACAGAGGAGTCAGGCTCCCGGCTTCCCGGTCCATCAAGGACATGTTTGCAAACTTCTCTCCCTGTTGAGAAGTTCAGCCCAGATTCCCGCCTCTGCTCCACTACATGACCTCCCCTCAAACGCCTGGAGACCCTGTAGCCGGAGGAGGAACCCAAGGAGGATGGGTACTCACTGGGGCACGATGGTGATCTGGACAAAGCAGATGAAGAGGAAGACGAGCGAGGCACACGCCACGTAGGCACCGAATCGGTCGTCCACCTGCTTGGAGTACTGAGAGGACACAGCAGAGTGAGGGCCAGAGGCACCAGCCCTGTCCGCTCCAGCCCCGCTCCATCCCCGACACACCAGGCTGCCCAATTGGAAGGCCCGAGGACCAGTGCGAGCCCAAGCTCTTGGGAAACCAGCCCAAATCACCATAAGGTGATGCTTGTGGGGAGAGGAGTTGAACTGTGTCAAACCAGAAACTTTCCACAGGTCAGATCACCGTGGGAGTAATTCATAATGATCACGGCTAAAGTTACCGAGCATCGTCTACATGCTAGGACACGCATCATCGCGCACCCGGCAAGCACACTAGGAAGTAGGCACAGGACCGCTGCTGTTTCAGAGAGGAGTAAGATGGGGCTCAGAGAGGTCACAGGACTTGTCCAAAATCACACAGCTCATCGCCGGGGTCCTGACCCCCAGCCCCAGCTCCCCCCACACCACCCAGCCGCTTGAGCAGAGGCTGGGCTGGCACCAAGTCCCCAGAGAAGGTGATCCATGTCCGTCCATAGTAGACAAAGTACGTTCCCTCCTCTCCCTCTCTCTCCTACTTAGGGTTGCTTTACTCAATGACGACAGGAGCTCCCATGAGCTCATTTTAACCGAGCATCAGGAAGACGCGGTGACATGGAGCAAAGACCCTGAGCCCGGGACTGGTTCTGGCCCTGTCACCACTTCACTGGGTGACCCAGGGCACACCTACTAGCGCACCTACGTGAGCTTCAGCTCCCTCGGCCATGATTCAAGGAGACTGACTGCCCCTTCCAGTTTCAATACCTTGAGGTTCAGTGTGGCTCGGTGGTCCATTGGCAATGATAATGATAACAACACGACAAAACTAAAACAAACAGCAATTAACATTTATTGAACACATACGATGCGGCAGATACTGTTGTATGTGTTTTAAATATACGGACTTGGGTAATCCTCAGTATGACCCTTTGAGGTAAGTATGCTAAATATCTCCATTTCCCGGCTAAGGAAATGAGGCCCAGGAGGTTAAGGTTTATTCCTGCCAAACAAGGAGGTCTTCCTAACATCTGTAGCTCCTGGGTAGTGCAGCATCAGCGCTGGGGAAGCGGAGGGGATGAGAAGGGCTTTTCCAACAGTGATGGAGACCGAGGGAGCCAGCCATTGCCTTGTTTCCCTCCCGCTGGCTCTGGTTCTGCGTGGAGCCTGCTTCCCACTCAAGCTGCCTACCTTCTTCTCTAAGTCAGGCTCCCTGAAGGTCAAGAGGAACTTGCGAACATGTTCAGACCGCAGCCTGTCAATGCTCCTGGCGTCAATGGCACGGCCCAGAAACTCGTCCACTTCATCCTCGGGGTTTGCACTTTCCTGGGCGTTCCTGGGGAGCAAGAGGGGCAGACACCAGGCAGGCTGACCACCAGGGGGCGCTGCTAACCAGTGGCTCTGGCTGTGCTCAGGGATCCAGGAGAGAAACCCAGATCAGCCCTAATAAGATGTGGGGAAGATGAGACTGAGGCCAGGACCCCCTCCTGACACCTGCACACATGGGTAGAAAACTGTCTAAGTCTCAGATCCGCTGGCTTTTCTGACTCTATTGATGTATTAGTACGTTATCATAAGGCTAGAGGCCCAGTGCACAAAATTCATGCACAGGTGGGGTCCCTAGGCCTGGCCGGTGATCAGGGGCAATTAAGTTCTCTGCCTCCGCACCTCCCCACCTCCTCCTTCCCTCACTGCCCGCACGCTGCCATCCACCCCCCGTTTCCCGTCCCAGCCTGGGACCCGGCCCCATTCAGGTGATTGAGGCCTGCTGGCTAGGGGGAGGAGCCAAGAGGTTGGCCAGCAGGCCCCATCAGTGATTGGGGCCTGCGGGCTGGGGCAGCTTCTGCCCCCTGGCAGTGAGTGTGCGTCTTAGCAACCAGTCGTCCAGTCGTTCTGGTCATTCCATAGTAACGGTTGCTTAAGCTTTTTTATATATATAGATAGATAGATGAGTTACTATGGGAGGTTTAATTGTTTTCTCCCCACAGGTAACAGTCTCTGCTCTGTCCTTTCTGGCTGTGCCATCATTCAGAAATGAAAGCCGAGACCAAGAGGTGAGACTTCTAGCCAGGGACTGTGGCCACCCAGTGCTCTAACCTGGCTTAGGCACTCTTTGGGAAGGCTGCATGATCTTTGGGTGTTGAACTAAAATGACGTGGAATTTCTGACAGCCCCTGTGAACTGGGAAGTGACATTCCCTCAGGGCACTGGGATGTGACCAGGCACTGTGTGTGACCACTGTGGCAGGCCTGCACTTTCCTGCGAGCTGCACACACGTGTGTGTATGTACACATGTATGTGCAGAGTGTGCACACATGTAGTTTTGTGTGTGCACACGTGTGTGTGCATGGAGTGGAGACTGAATATGGGCAATGCCAGGGCCCAGCCTGTCTGCTGGATGGCCCGGGCTGACCATCTCTTATCTGCCGTGGGCTCCGGACACTCAGCCAAGACTGCCTGTGGGCTCCTTCCCCATGGAGCGTGAGGAAACAAAGCTGTGAGGCAGATCTGAAGATATGCCCCAGGAATCATGAAGGGCACGTCACTCACTTGTCCTTGGGGTCTTCAAAGCCCTAAAAGAGAGGGACAGAGAAAGGAGAGGAGTGTGAGAACAGAGAGGACTGGACACAAAGGCTTCCAGAGATGGGGCTGTGGGAAGGGGCAGCCCATTTCTCTCTGCAGTTCTCCAAGGAGCTCAGACATAAGAGAAGGTTGTCACTCAGCAGCCCTTTCTTCTATCCTTCCTCCATCCTCCCTTCTATCCTTCCTCCATCCTCCCTTCTATCCTTCCTCCATCCTCCCTTCTATCCTTCCTCCATCCTCCCTTCTATGCTTCCTCCATTCTCCCTTCTATCCTTCCTCCATCCTCCCTTCTATGCTTCCTCCATCCTCCCTTCTATCCTTCCTCCATCCTCCCTTCTATCCTTCCTCCATCCTCCCTTCTATCCTTCCTCCATCCTCCCTTCTATGCTTCCTCCATCCTCCCTTCTATCCTTCCTCCATCCTCCCTTCTATGCTTCCTCTATCCTCCCTTCTATCCTTCCTCCATCCTCCCTTCTATGCTTCCTCCATCCTCCCTTCTATCCTTCCTCCATCCTCCCTTCTATGCTTCCTCCATCCTCCCTTCTATCCTCCCTCCATCCTCCCTTCTATGCTTCCTCCATCCTCCCTTCTATCCTTCCTCCATCCTCCCTTCTATCCTTCCTCTATCCTCCCTTCTATTCATCATCCTTCCTTCCTCCCCCCCTTCTTTTGGTGAATATAGCTGGGCTCTCCCTATGGAACAGGCTCTGTGCTGGATGCGGGGGGTGCATTGCTTTCATTTCATCCACTGGCAAAATCCATGTGTCTAAGCTCTTCCTGTCCCCACACCTAACTCCTTGTCCTATTCCCCAACCTCCTGTCCCCCTCATCCTGGACCCTGGGCTTGGGGGGTCCTCTCCCAATTCTGCAACTTACTCAGATGGAAACAAGAGAAAACCTCGAAGCCGATCAAGCCCCACACATGTGCATACATGCGTGGACACACCTCTTCTACACACACACACACACACACACACACACACACACACACACCACTCCCACTGAGCACATACACAATCTCCTAGGAATTCACAAGTTCTGATGTAAGAAAATTAAACCCTGGTTACCTACAACAGCTTTTTTGGTATCTGAGGACCAACATATTCATTATTATTATTGATTTCAGAGAGGAATGGAGAGGGAGAGAAAGACAGAAACATCAATGATGACAGAGAATCATTGATCAGCTGCCTCCTGCACGCCCCACACTGGGGGGTTGAGTCTGCAACCTGGGCATGTGCCCTGACCAGGTATCAAACCGTGACCTCCTGGTTCAAAGGTTGACGCTCAACCACGGAGCCACGCCAGCCGGGCCCAACATGTTCTTGTAAGGCCAAAGTCGGTTGGGGACCCAGGAGAGAGGAACCCACCTGGCCCGGGTTTGACTACTGTTCTGATGTTCACACACGCAGGCTGGGTGAGAGTGGGAAAGCCCCTCACTGGTGGCCAAATTCAAAGTCCTGATGAGAGTTCACCTATAATGTCCACAGAGGGACAGCTGTGTGCCAGGGTGGAGGGAGGGCTCCCTAACACAGGAGAGTGGAGTCCTGGAGGCAGAGGGGGAGGTGACCACAGCCCCTGGACGGCCCATTTCCAGGGAGGCTCAGGTTGCCACAGCCAGGCAGAGGATGGTCTCCCGCCTCTGAGGCCTGGCAGGGAGCACACTGCTGGGCAAACAGGAGGATGGCAAATGCCAGCTAAACCCAAACCCCAAATGAGCACACCTCTCTTCATTCCCACGGAGGACATGGCTTGAAAATACACCAAGTGGGACTTGTGTTGGTCTCCATGAGACAGAGCTGCCGGGTGCGGAAACAGGCACTGGGTCCACGTGGCCCCGAGGGGCTTTGTCTCTGTTCGCGGAGGGCTCTCAGGGGCCTTGGCAGCCTCCATGGGCACATCCAAGCACCCAGCTGTGGGCTCTGAGCTCCTCCCAGGCTGCCTGGCAGTTGTCTCCTGTCCTCTGCGAATCGCTGGGCCCTCCATCCAGGCTGCAAGACCCACCCACTTCACTGTCCCAGCCTTGGGCCTGGCTGGAGGAGTTGTGTCACTCTGTGAGCATTCCTCCTGGTGCAGGCCCAGGCCGGGCACTTCCAGGATCCCGGGGAGCACAGATGAGCGGGCAGTGGAGCTGGACTGCGGCTCCCTAGGGAACAGGGAGAGACACGGGGGTGCTGAATTCCACCCCAGGGGCCAGCAAGGATTTTACTCTGGGACTGAGAACAACCCCGCTGTTTTATGCCTACAGCTCAAAAATACACCTGACATCTATAATAATAAAAACGTAACATGCTAATTAGACCAGACATCCTTCTGGACCACCTTCCGCCTTGTGTGTGGAGAGCTTAGCATCTGCCTGGGGCGGAGAATTAACAACAGTCAGAATACACTTTGGTCCATAAACCGTGGCAGGTGGTCATTCAGAACACCGCCCAGCGGCCCGGGTTCCAGTCCCCTGACCTGCTTACTAGTTCTAGGACAAGGGTCCTCAGCCCGGCTGCCAGGGCCCTGAGATGGGTCCCTGTGGTGTGTCTCAGCATTTCTGGGGAGCAGTCAGCTCAGCTCAGCTCAGGGGTTCTCTTTGGTTCCCGATTCCTCCCTTCAGACCTAACGCAGAAGCAGAGGCCGCAGCCGTCCACACTGAGGTGCAGGCTCTGGTTTGCATAGGCCTCTGTGCGTCTTCCCCGGGCCCGGGCCCCGGCCCAGCCCGCCACCCCACACCATGTGGAGTTTCCCTGGGCCTGTTTAGATGAGATGAGTCCATGCATTCATTACCCTGTCAACCTTCTTACTAATGAATAAACTGGGGACCTTCAACACTCGTGCCTACACATAAACCAGCAGACCCATTCACTGTGTCTTAAATGCAGAATAAAAGATGGAACAGGATTTAAAGAAATAAACCTCTGGCTACAAGTTAGTCCTTTTCTAACTGCAGTCACTGCTTAACCTAATGTCCACCCCCGACCCCCGCACCCCCGCACCGCGTCTTCACTGGAAGTCAGGGCCAAAGCTCTCCTTTGCCAATGGTGTGCCTGACAAGTGCCAGGACCTGTCCCATCCCCAGCCCAGGCTCTCTGGCAGGGTGCTGGCCCCAGGGGTGGGGGCAACTCTGCCCAGCCAGGATGGGGGAGCAATCAACACCCTAAAGGAGCCTCTCCTGCCGCCAGCCTCCCCTGGGACTGCCCTTTCCCCACTTACAGCCCTTGTGCTACTTCTCCCAAGTTCCTAGTCCTAACGATAATTAACATGTCTGCCAATGAGGCTCTGAAATAACTGTAGATTCCACTTACACCAACTATCCCTAAGGAAAAAAGCTTTTCCCAGATTTTAGAAAGAGAAAGTACCATCAAGCATCTTTCCTGCCTGCTAGTGCCTCCTCTTCACCTCTTTTTCCCCATCTTCCCCCCCCCCACTCCCCATCCTCTCTCCTCCCCACTCCCCATCCTCTCTCCTCCCCACTCCCCATCCTCTCTCCTCCCCACTCCCCATCCTCCCTCCTCCCCCACTCCCCATCCTCCCTCCTCCCCACTCCCCATCCTCCCTCCTCCCCACTCCCCATCCTCTTTTCTCCCTGCTCTGGGTCTCCCCTTTCCTCTCACCACCACCCCTCTTGCCCACCTTGGTACAGAGCCTGCAGGAGATTAAGTGGCTGGGTGAACACAGGGAGGGGACACCAACTGCTCTTTGCCTTGGGAGGGCCCTTGAGAGAGGGGGGTGGTGGCTGGAGCCCTGGGCAACACCGACCAGTCTGTGAACGTCCAAGCTCTGGGGACAATTCTGCTCCCTCATAACCTTGGTGTCCTGTGGGTTCATTCTTTATCATCAAAAGTAAAATGACCCCCGTCAGATGGCTCAGTTGATTGGTGCGTTGTCCTGAACACCAAAGGTTGTGGATTTGATTCCCAGTCAGAGCACATACCTAGGCTGCAGGTTCAATCCCCGGTCAGGGCATGTGTAGGAGGCCACCGATGGATGTCTCACTCTCATCTCTCTCTCTCTCTCTCTCTCTCTCTCTCTCTCTCTCTCTCTCTCTCTCTCTCTCCCCCTTCCCCTCCCTCTAAAATAATCAATAAAAATATCCTTGGGTGAGGACTAAAAAAGAATTATTTTTTAAAAAGTGAAATAGAGGTCTTGACCCAATTCATTTTTCCCCCTGTACACTTTCCTTAAGCCTTTGTCATCTGCTCCTTGCTAGCTAGCAAGGAGAGTGACCATCCCCTGCTGTCCCCTCCCTCAGGTCCCTGGCTCTGCCTGTGAATTCCTATGGAGTCTGTAACCCCTCCTGCTGCAACTGAAGCCTAGTCTGGCCCACAGACCCCAGCTGGGATCCTAATGCACAGGCCCCAGGTACGTGGCCACACTGGGATCCCTGCGCCCTCGTTCCTCCCCCAGCCCTGCCCTTGAGCTCCGGGATGAAAGGAAAGGAAAGAAACATGGCTGCTATAACATGACTTCTGTCACCCTTGTCTTCTTTCCACCTTCCGAATCCCTTTCCATCCTCTGGACTGAACCTGGACAACACCTCCCGCGTTAGCTCTTCCCTGGTATGTGCAGGGATGCTGAGGGTGTCTGTCCCCCGAGGCAGGCAGGGTCCCTTGCGATGGGGGTAGAACCCTATGCTGGCCTCCACGCGTGCAGCCTGCATGCCCCCGCCAGCTGGCTGCAGGGAGAGGGGTGTTTCTCCACACAGAGGGCCAAGGGGACCATCACCTGGCACTTGCCAACAAGCACTGAGATGGTTTCTGAGCATCTGAGTCAAGTGGTGGGGTTCAGCGGGCTGGGAAATGCAGCAGGTGCTGGAAGAACGTCTGACAAGCTGAAGCCCCCCAACTCCCCAAGGCCTCCCCCTGGGCCCAGTTGGCTAGGTCTGCTTCCAGCCCCTGCCAGTAAGCTTTGCTGCAAGGAAGGAGGAAGGGGCGTTGGTAAGTGTGGGCTTACAAAGTCCCAGAGCTCAACTCAGCTTGCCAAGAGATGGTGGAGGAGGGAGCCCGGGGCAAGAAGGCAGGCATTTTGGCTCCTAGTCCAAAGGTGGGTGAGCCTCACGTCCAGGCGTTTGTTCTGTGGCTCTCCAGGGGCCGGGCCCAGCCTCAACCACAGGAGGCCCATCCCTGGAGAGGGCTGCCCGCACACTGCCCTGCCAGCACTCACCATCCGCTTCATCTCCTTGGACACCTGGTTGCTGCCCAGGTGGTTGTAGAAGGGGCGCTCGGCTCCCCAGTGTGGCGGGTTGTGCCCGATGGAGTTGGTTCTCTGGCGATTCATCTTGGCGATCATGGCCTTCTCTTCTTTCTGGGAGAGCAACACAGACGTATCAGCCTGTGGGCAGGGCCCACATGTGTGGCGTGTCTCATCCCCAGGTGCCCTAACCAGATGCCCAGGGGTTAAGGCAGCTGCCCCTCTCTTCTCTGCACAGCCTGGAGCCCAGAAGTCTGCCAAGATCCTAGAGCTCACCCAACAAAGCATCCTGATCCCCCCGAACTCCCCAAAGCTGGCCCTGGCGGGCCCAGGAAGACAGTGAGGTGTCTGCGAGGAAGCAGTGGGGCCTGGGACACCTGTCATTCACCTGGAATTCTCAGGGGTGGGCCGACCTGGGCCTGTAGGTGTCCGGGGGTGACAGAGGGAGAGGAAACCTGTGATTCCAATCTCCGCTCAACTTATCCAAAATAGGCGTGTCCTAGCAGAGTGGGAGGGGGCACAGGCCCTGCTGCCCGGAAAGCAGCTTCCAGAGGTTTGGGCCATTAGAAAAGGAGATTCGAGGACTGGCATGCATTGTACAAATACACAAACAGGGCCTCAGCCAGACGTGTGCCAACCACATCTCTTCTGTCCGTCTGCCCATTCATCCATCCAAACAGGCCCCGCTGAAGGTGTGGAGAGCCCCACTCCCACCCCCGCCCTGAGCCTGGGAAGGAGTGCGCCAGATTAGGGGTGCGGCGGGAAGGGGGCGGACTGTTCCAGCTGACACTGCTGGGGGTAGGGCTATCACTGTCTGTCTGTCTGTCTGTCTCCATTTCATCCTTTCTGGACCACTTGTCAAGTGGGAAGAGCCGAGACCCAGAGAGCCCAGGGCAGAGGGCAGGAAGGGTGGGCCCCTGGAGGCCTGGGAGCAGGTAGAGGGGGATGTGGGAGGAGGGCTGGGAGGGTCCAGCTCATTTATATTCTAGCCAAACAACAAGCACATATTTAAAAATGTGTCAACTAAGCCCCAAATGTGTCAACTCTCTCCACAGTGCCCTCCATCCCCCCGCCCGCTCATCACAGCTCCCTCAGAGGCACCCGCAGCCAGTGTCAGGGGCAGCCAGTGTCCGGGGCAGCCAGTGTCCGGGAGCGGCCCGGGAGCTGCTGATGCAGGAGGTGCCACTGACGTCCCTGTCAGGGGGGCCCTGCCCCAAAGAGCCGTGCCTCCTTGAAAACCAACTTTTGCTCTCGTCCAAGACTTTCCCTGAACTGTCCTCACAGCTTAATTTCGCCCTGAGTCTGATTTCTTAGGAAGGAAACGGAAGCTTTTCTCTACCACAGGGCTCTGACCAACAGATAAATCCAACGGAAAGATCCACCAGTAAAAGGCATTTCAGTCTTGGGAGAAAAAGGAAATGTTCTCATCATTCACTTTAAAAATTAAGGACCTGGAACATGACACTATTAAAAATAGAACCCTGAAGTCTGCTGATAATTCAATTTTATATTTTGGTAAGTGTGGGCTGAGACAAAAGGAGGGAGAAGAAAGAGACTAGAAAGTGAAAGGGGAAAAGACAGAGGTTGAAGAGACAAAGATTCACAAGTTCCAGGAGAGGGAGCGAGAGCGAGAGCGAGAGCGAGAGGGAACAAAAGTCCGCTTTGTCCCAGCAATAGCGGAGAAGTGAGATGAACATATGGGAGACACAGATCTCCTTGCGGCTTCATTTCCGGCTCATGACCTTCCGGAGCAGTGTGACTAACTGATCTGAGCCTGTGCATTTTTTGCAACAGAAGCAAATTGAAAACACTCCCTCTTCGCGGGGCTCCTGTAACTCTGATGTCCTTCCAGGGACGCAGGAGCCATGGCTGTGTAAGGAATGCATGACTTGGCTCTAGAAGAGGAGGCAGAAGCAGGCCAGGGGAGTCCCTCCCCAGAGAATGGAGCCCCTGAGCCTCCCCGCCCCAGCCCCTGCCCCCAGCCCGCAGCCTTCAGCCCAGCCCCGGACCCGCTTCTGGGTGCAGCGCAGGATGAGGAAGGTCTCGATGCTGTGCTCCTTGAGGTAGGCGTTGCGCTCGCCCCCACAGCCTGGCTCCACCTCGTAGTCCCCGTTCAGGTAGTTGAGTGTGGCCTTGGTGATGTGGATGCGTCTACAGGTGCAGAAGGAGGTGGAGGGGAGGGAGAAAACGTGAATTCAGAGCTCTAGCTGCCAAGCAGAACCCAGATGCACCGACTCAATCCCGATTCAAAGTGCGGCTCAGAAGCCAACCCCAGCTCGATCCCCACTTGAGGTCCTGTTTCCCTCCAATGTCATCGAATGGCTCAGGGAGGGTCCGTCCCAGCTCGCGACCCCTCGGCCACACAACCTCACATCTACGTACATTGTTATAACAACACAACACGTTCTTACCCGGCCAGGAACACAGCCTGCAGGCTCAAACTTTGCAAACCTGGCCAGGAGCCAGCAGGAGCTCCTACTGACTACCGGCTGCGTCCAAACCCCCACTTGTTATGAATGCCATTCTTAACACCGGCTTTGCCCATTGGTCCCTAAAAAGCCATCTGCTCTACTTACATTCCTTGGACGTAATATGTTTTCCTGTCCCGTGTCTGTCCTCGCCCCACCCCTCAGCCTGACACTCTCCCTACCCCACCTTCCTTATCTGTCCAAATCCTGCTTATCGTCCCGGCCAGCTCATCCCACCTCCTTTCTGCCCTGGATACCCCAGAATTTATCTGTGTGTTCTCCCTCCTCCAGAGCTCTGCCCTACCTCCCGCATCTCACCAGCCACCGCATTTTGTGTAAACAGTTTCTGGGTGAAGGCCCGGGAAGCTGACCTGACACTCCCTACCACTTGCCCTGATGTCGTGTAAGTAAATTGTCAGGTTGAATAGTTTCTGCTTAAACTCTGCCACCCCCAGGGTTTCAAGCGACTCCATCCTGCCCACTCCAGCCCCGCCGCTCACGACCTGGCCCTGAGTGAACCTGGCAGGGAGGCTCTGTCGGGGCCCTGCCCACAGCCCTCACTCACCCAGCCTTGCCTCCAGCCTCCATGTGGTTGGCCAGTGTGACGTCGTTAGACCAGACGTCGAACTGCCACTTCCTGAGACCAAGGACACCGCAGTGTACTCGCCCGCTGTGAATTCCCACGCGCATGTTCACGTTCACCCCTGTCACCTCCCGGACCAACCTGGGGATGGAGCAGGGGTGAGGCTGGGAGAGGGTCATGGGCCGGGCACAGAGTGGGGGTGAGGCTGGAAGGCAGGAGGTCAGGGGATGTGTCAGAAGGTGCAGGGGTCAAAAGTCATTTCTCTCTAGGCCAGTCCAAACCCAGGCTAAGACCCTCCAACCTGCAGGGCGGGGCTGGGCGCTGGAGCTCAGGAGCTGAGAACTGTGAGGTGCTGCTTCCTGACTTGGCCACAAGGTGGCGTGACACCTCACACTAAAACCCAGGCCCCTCTGCTTCCCCCGACTAGGGCACCTGAAGCCATTGCTACCCTCAGTCCATGACATTGTGTTTCGAAAATGCAAATGAACATTAGTGCCAACTTGAGCCAGACGGGGAAGTTACAGCCAATACATACCCCATTCATATAATGCTCTTGGCTTTATCCACATCGCTGGGCAAGAGAGAAAGGTGGGTAATTGAGGACATGTGTCTGCTCAGGAAAGAAGGGGAGCCTAGGCAGGGGTAAGGACTAGGTGTCCCCGATGGGCTAGAAGACAGCTCCAGTCCCTGCTACCCAGGGGGTCCCCAATAGACAGGTGGCCATCCAGGGAGTAGGTCAGAGATTGCATCCTCTGTGGGGAAGGGAGTAGGACAGAAGCTATCCATCTCCAGGTCTGTGTCTGGGCCCAGGGTCAGGCATTCTGGGGTAAAGTACACAGGATGCACTTTTTAGGGACCTGGACCCTCCCAGACACGCTGGGGATGAGCCCACTCAGCCAGCTGTGGGCCAGCAGTCTGACTTGGCGGGCTGACCACGAGGGTACCAGCCCACCCCACCAGGGAGAGGCTGACCCCCTGCAGGGAAGATTTATGTCATCCATCACTTCTCTTGTCCTGGGACCAAGTCTGCAAATAGTTTACTGGAGCCATTCCTTCCATCTGGCCCCTGGCCACTTGCTTAGGTTGGTGCTATCTCATGCTACCTTCCTGACTCACCTCCAGGGCCACCTCCTCCATGCAGCCTCTCTAGGTCTTTGCAGTGTAATCAATGGCTGCCTCCTTCACACCTCCCACCACAGTGCGCCTCTCTTACCTGGGGGCACGCCTGGGCTCAGGCATGGAGCCCCAGCCTCTCTCCCTCAACGGACTCCACGCTTCCGGGTGAGGGACCCACTGGTGAGCCCAGGCCCACAGGACACTCAGCAAGCACTGTCGAATGGGACTGAGCCAAACTTACTGGACCCAGCCACTTCCTGGCCAGCGACTCCGACCTCTGACCTTGCCCCCTGTGGCTTTCCCTCTGCCCCTGCCCAGGCTATGTCTAAAGTTCAAAGTTACTGAACCTGGATGCAATCTCTAACCTGCTCCCAGGGTGGCATGTAAGCTTGGCTTGTTCAGGATTTCTAATGACCAGGGGCTCCTTCTATGGCCAACAATGACCAAAAATTGCCCCAAACCCTTTCTGCCATATTCCCAGGATGGATGGATTTTCTTAAATGGGAACACCTGTGTTTGACCCTCCCTGCCTAGGAATATTACCCTGGGGAGCTATTCACCCGTGAGCCCAACCTTTTTCATCTGGTAGAAATGCGGGGGGCGGGGTCCTACGCCCACCTGAGTGATGGTGAGGACACGAGGGACCACTGCAGGGCAAGGCCCCCACACGGCACGGCTGCGGCTTGCCCTCCGCTCCTGCAGAGGGGACCCAGCCCCTGCAAAGCCCTCCCTTCCTGCAGGACACGCTCCCTCGGGGAAAAGCCTCCCCAGGTGCTATGGGTGAAGGGAGCGCAGGGGGAGGCTCAACACCTGCAGGTGCAAACCAACCCTCCCGCCAGGCCGGGTGGTCCTCAGGAGACGGCTCTGCCCCACTGTTTCCAGACTCCATTGGTCCAACCAGGTGGCCAGTCAGTTATGTGGGCTGTGGGCCAGTCCATCTACAGACAGGCGGTCTCCCGGGAGATGGACAGACCCCTGAAGAGAGATAGCGCCCTAAGATGGACAGATTCCCTGCAGATGGGCAGTCCTCCTGGAGACAGGCACTTACGAGATGGCCTCGATCATGTCCATGCCCATCTCCACGCAGCAGTGGGCATGGTCAGCCCTCGCTTCAGGCAGCCCCGAGACGCAGTAATAACAATCCCCCAGGATCTTAATACGTAAACAGTGATTCTCCTGGAAAGCAAATTAATTTTTAAAATTAAAAATAGCAGGAAAGTGAAGTGGGAGGGAAAGAAACGGGAAGCAAACAGATTCGCTCCATGCCTGGAATAACTTGCCTTTTAGGGCAGTGAGCACAGACCCAGTCCCCATGAGCGCCCCGTCCTGGGACAGGGACAGGCTTATCAAAAGCCTCAGGGACAGAGGATAGGCTGAGCAGCCCTCAGGGAAGCATTCCAGCCTCCCCAAGCTCGGGAACTCACTTTCATGGCCCCTGCAGAGGCCCAAGGTGGAAGAGTCCTCTCTTTCTGGAAGCCCCTGGCGGGTGGGGAGTGGGGGGCAGGCTGTCTGCAGGCCAGATGGTATCCAGACTCATTCTCCCATCACTCGCCAACCTCACCAGGAAATGGCTCTATGGCACCTCATTTGTCCCATCAAACAAATTCCTCGGGAATCAGGGCAGTGTTACCCGCAGGCCTCAAACCCCTCCCACTGACGGAGGGCTCACTCACAGCATCTCAGACTGAGTGTGTGGCTGGGGCTGATGCAGGGCGTGAGCACACCGCCACCTGTGCCCGTCACCAGTTCCCAACAGCAGGCTCTGCCAGGCAGGGCACACCCTGGCCCCGTGCCTGCCCCTGGGGTTCATCGGGTCCTGCCTACGGCACCCTCCCTCAGGCAACCCAGATCAGGCCCTCCCGCTGGCCCTGGCGGAGGCACTCGGTGCGGCGGGCACGGGCGGGCGGGGACTCACCGCAGCCAGCTTGTCGAAGCGGGCGAAGAGCTCGTTGAGGGTCATGACCAGCTCCTGGGCAGTGCACTGGGACGCCAGGCTGGTGAAGCCCTCGATGTCAGCGAACAGGATGCTGGGGAGACAGGCGGAGGAGGACCCCAGTGAGGGAGGACGGGCAGGGGGCCGCGGCCAGGGCCACCCTAGGCCTCAGGCCAGCACGATCCTGGGGCTCCGCGGCTGCTGGGGAGAGAGCCCACAGAGGCCCAGCCTGGGGACCCGGGCATGCGGACGCTCCCGGCTGCTCAGGGAGCAGCTGCGGTCCTCTCTGGGTTCTAGCTGCTACCCGGGAGGAAAAGGGGCCCTGAGGGTGTGTCAGCCGGAGTTTACCACAGACCCAGGCCCCCATCCTCATCACCTCTTGGGCATGCCCCTGCCCCTGCTGGACCCGGAGCCACCCCTCAAGGTGGCTGGGCCTGGGATGGGGCTCAGGACCGAATGGCGGCCTCACGAGGCCTCACTTCATGCACATGGGACTCCAGCCCCGGGCTCTCCGCCCCAAAGAAACCCTCTACAGGGACGGCCTAGAGGAGGCCCGGTGGGAGGTGAAGGGGGAAAGCCAGGAGGCGTCTCTGGAAGCCCCAGCTCATCCCCACCAGCTCCTCTGGCCTCACCTACCACCCCACACCTCGCCCTGGGTGCCCACCAAATGCACCAGCCGGTCCCTACGCGGCACACTGCGGAGCTTCTGTGTTTCTGAGGCTCGTGTTTCCAAGACTGAACCACCTTCCTTTGTCTCATAACAGATGACCAGAGGTGAGGACCCAGCGCCAGATGTATAAGGGCCCCTAGAATTTTTTTTCTTGAAATGGACACACAGTCACTAAACCCAGTGACTCTCACGTGCTGAGCTACTCCCAGGCCGGCATGGGCTCGCTGTGTCCGTCTCAGGGAAGAAGCCGGAGACAGCGGCACGGCAGGCTCCCCCAGGCCTGTGCTGCTTCCGCACACCCCAGCCCCGGAGGCTCCAGAACTGAGCCCCGCTCTAAAGGAAGAATGTAGGACTAAACATACGTTGTCACTTTATTCTGAAAACGTGTGGGTGCCTTAAGCATGTCTTTATTTCGCCGTCTGACATCTGGGGCCTTGCTCACCCTGGGGAGCCTTCCCTCCGGCAGCCGGTTCCCCGAGTCAGCACCTCCCCTCAGGGTGGGCCCCGCCCCAGTCAGGTTCTCACACCCCAGCCACCAGCCCCTGCCTGAACCACCAGGGACAGGTGCCAGACACGGGCAGTCCTAAGCCCACTTACCCCGCCTCACCTGTTCCTTCCCACAATGAAGGCTTTTGCCCACATTTCCCCCTCATTCTGCCTCCTGGTGCCTCCCTGCCTGGCCCCCAGGACATGGTGTGCCCTCAGCCCTCGGGAACTATAACAAACTATCTTTTCGATGGAAATCGTCTCCCGGACTCACCACACCTGGATACTAATGAAACCTACATTTAAAAACATTTCGCCAAAACCACTTTGGCTCAGTGGATAGAGCGTCGGTCTGCAGACTGAAAGGTCCCAGGTTCGATTCCGGTCAAGGGCACGTACCTTGGTTGCAGGCATATCCCCAGTAGGAGATGTGCAGGAGGCAGCTGATCGATGTTTCTAACTCTCTATCTCTCTCCCTTCCTCTCTGTAAAAAATCAATAAAATATATTTAAAAAAAAAAAAAAAACATTTGGAAAAGGGGGGGGGGGCGGAACAATGTAATACTGTCAACAATAATTATTTAAAACAAAACAAAAAGTTGGACACTGTTCTAAGCACTTTACATGAACTCATCTAAGCTTCTTTTTCAGGCGAAAAACCAGAGGCCCAGAGAGGTTGAGTCACCTACCCAAGGCCACACAGGCAACCTGGCTCCACAGTCCAGGAGTTGGACCAATAAACAGTACGCTGTCTGATGGCCTACAGTCGTCTTAAGGAAATAAAGGCATTGTCAGTGGTCTGGCATTATGTACGGGGCAGAGGAGGCGAGGGGCGCATGGGCTGTTGTAGGTGGGCACGCACTCAGTGGCTGCTTGACAGCTCCCGAGGGGCAGTGGACACAGGAAGTGCCCCCTGGGGCTGCAGCCAGGCTGTCACCTCCCAGGGCAAGCATGGGAGGGCAGACCCAGGTGCCGAGCCCAGTGCTGTTTCCTGGCATCCAGGGTCCTCTAGCCACTCAGATCCCAGCCTGGATCAGCAAAGACAACTGCAGGAGGAAAGCCAAAGAGAGTGGGGAAATGGGGGGGACACAAGAGACGAGACAAGTGAGGGGAAAGAGAGAAAGTAGGGAGCAGGAGGAGCAGAGGAGAGACACTGTCTCTTCAGGCCACAGGACTCTGGACATCAGACAGCTGCTCGGGGAGCGGGCAGCCACGTGCAGAGTGCTGAGATGAAAGGGAGTCGGGATCACCACCACGCTTTGATGCCTGGTGTCTGACACGCAGACAGGCTCAGCGCCGGCCCAGGAAGTCTCCGGGCTTGCGGCACGCTGGCGGGAAAGGAGCGAGTGAGGGAAGCTAAGGGCTCCGGGTCCTGCTCTGGCTTCCTAACCAAGTGCAGACCCCATCCTGGCCCGCCTGCCACTTCCCGAGCTCCGTCTCTCAGGCAGCGGCCCACTCCACCCAGGAGGCGGGAAAAGGTCTCTCCTTGCCTGTGAAAAGCACCCTCACATCGCTGTTCTGGACATTCTTTGACTCAGGAAATCAAAGCAAGTTGGGGTCAAAATTGGCTACTTCAGAGTCAAGGAGCACAGTCAGCTGATCTCACGATTTCGAATGCACAGCCAGTGATGCCAGGCCCAGCGGCTGTTCCCCTCTGGGCCGGAGGCTGGTGAGACCCCATAATAGGAAGGAAAAACGTCCCTGGACTTGGCAGAGGCAAGGTAAGAAGAAAGAAAGAGAAGGAATTGCCTGGGAAGCATGAGGCACATGTGTGTGAACCAGGGGCACCTATCCAAACTCACCTAAGTCACTCAAGGCAACACAGGGGTCTGTCTGCCAGGTATGGACACGGCCAGGCCTGGGCCATCCTCCTTCCCCACACGTGCCCTCGCTGGGCCACAGGGAGCACTCACCCTGCTAGACCCGTGGTCCTTGAAAGGGCGAGTCATCGCGGGGCCTACGTGGGCCGGCCGCTGGGCCCCATGAGGCACAGCCTGACCACACTGCTGGCGGCCTCGGGCACCGACTCCCCAGCCCACGGCGGGAGCCCAGTGCTGGCCGCCACCCGCCCGCCGCCCCTGGACCGGACCCGCGCGGCAGCGGCAGCAGCGGGGCAGGGCGGGGCGCGTGCCCTCGCCCAAGGAGATGGAGGAGGAGGCGATCGCTGGCGCCCCCAGGGACAAGACGAAGGACGTGGACTTCCTGTCTGGGCTGGAACTGGTCGATCTGCTGGACCCCCGGCAACCGGACTGGCCCCTGGAGCCCGGGCTCAGCTCGCCCTGGGGGGGGTTAGGACTGCGCCCTCCATCTTGCCCTGGGTCCTCCATTTTTGGGGCGGCCGCCATGTGCTCAGGAGAGTACCTTCTTCCCGGAAGCCCAGGCCCCTGCTGGCCACGCCCGGGATTTCTTTAAACTAACCAATGCAAGGGACGTGTGCGCCATAGAGATGACCACATCCTGTGTAACAAGACCCGACTCACGCCTGGCCCACAGTCCCCTCCCCTGCCCTTACTATAAAACCCACAATCCCATCAGGCCTCGCTCTCTCTGACACTGGGCTTACCGTTGCATCGGTGAGTGTGGTCCGGGAGCCGAACTAGTTCGAAATGAAGGACTCTTTGCTTTTGCATTGGATTGGCTAGCTCCCTGGTGGGCCCTTGGGAATCTGAAATCTGGGCACAACAGTTCTTAGGCCTGGGGCCTGTCAGAACCACCTGGGAGCTTTCATAAGGAGAGGTCTCAGAGAGCTCCCCCTCCACCCACACCCCCCGCCGAGATGCTAACTTGCTTGGCCTGGGGTGGGGTTCTGCTACTGATTGTTTTTGTTCTGCTTTATTTTAAGCTTCCCTGGTGATTCTAAGAGGCAGCCAGGGTTGAGAAGCCTGTACTAGTTCAAATGTCACCCTCCCAAGGCGGCTTCCACCACCCTATTTAACTCTACAGCCCCTCCCACATGTCTCTCTCCCTTCCCTGCTCGGCCTTCCCCCTTGCGCTTTTCACCATTTAATATATTTTTTATATTACTGAGGTGGTCACTTATCATTACGCTCCTGTCTGTCTCTCATACTAGGAAGTGAACTCCTTAAGGGAGGGAGTTTGGTCGATTTCATTAACTGCTATATCCCAGCCCCACACCACGTCTGGCACAGAGTAAATGCTCAATAAAACGTGTAACGGACTGACCAAATAAATGAGGAGAGGCCATGTCTACTTGCCTTCCGCTCTGTCCCCACCCCCACCACCCATATACATCTAGCACTATACCCAGCACACAGTAGGTAACAAAGTACCATAAACTTTGGCTTAAAACAACAGAAATATATTCTCTCACAGTTCTGGGGCTAGAAGTGTGAAACCAAGGTGTCAGCAGGGCCATGCTCCCTCTGCGATTCTGGGTACAAGCCTTCCTTCCGCTGTCTGGTGGTTGCTGTCAAGCCCTGGCCCACAGCTGTTCCACGCTCATCCCTGCCTGCGTCCTCATGTGGGATCCTTCCTGTCTATCTGTCTTCACAGGACAGGCTCCTCTTCAGATCAGGACACCAGTCGTTTTGGATGAGGGGCCCACCCTCCTCCAGCCGGACCCCTCTTAACTTGATTTCATCTACAAAGATTCTACTTCCAGATAAGGTCACACTCACAGATACCAGGGATCTCAACATACCTTTCAGAGGGACAAAATTCAGCCGGTAAGGGTCTAATATATACTGGCTGAATAAAAGAGAATAGTCATAGTTTCAAAGCAACGAAGCGGCAGAACCAGCAGCTCTAGTAGCCCTTCCTTCTTCTCCCCGGGCCTCTGAGAGCCCCAAGCATGCCATCTGAGACACGCACCTGCAGAGCCCGGGGCCCGGGGCCCGGCGCCCACAGGTGCTCCAGGAGATACCGGACACAGGGGTGTGTGCGGGCCTCCTGGAATCTACTCTTCCAAGGCCCCTCTGG